CTATATCTTTTCGTTTTCACAAATCTAAAAGGTAACTCATCTATAATAATCATCTTAATTAAACTTCTTCTAATTGCACTAACAACAATCCATTGTGGCAGTATATGAAATCTAGGACATGCTTCTTTTATGTTTTTCCTATACCTTTTCATTTATACAAATCTAAAAGGCAACTCATCTATAATAATCCTTTTAGCTAAACTCCTTCTAATTGCATCATGATCAAACTTCCAACTATCCAAAGACACATCTCCTCCTGATAAAAAAACTAATTTCATTTGATTACTCTCTTCACTAGCATTAAGTGTTTTCAACTTCAATCAAACCTTAACATGATTATTTAAAGAGGATGTTTCATTTTTTTGGTATCAGCACATAAAACCTTATCACAATGACTATAACTAGCCTTATGATTACTTATGTCATCAACAAATTTTGTAAAGTGATCCCACGCAAGCAAAGACGTCTTTGATGGTTCCTTTTGCTTATGCGATTTAGAGCTTATTGTTTCACTTCTTGCATTGCCATCAATAACACTTGCATTAGCTTGAGGTGTAGACGTTGAGTAATTAATTGTCAAATTTATATTCTTTTCAATTTCCTTTGACATCTAAAAAAAAAAAAAATAATCATCATATAAATAAATTTGGTATGCCAAAGTGAAAAAGAATAATAGTACCATGCATAACCAAAAAAAAAGAAAAAAATATTCAAAAAATGAGTATTTCTTTATTAATATTAATATTTTAAGCATATTTTATGAAGATTAAAATCTCTGTCTAAGTTCTAACCCAAACCATGTCATTTTCTAATTTGTCATACTTTAACGGAGTGTAATATGTATGATTTAAATTCTTAAATAATTTCTAAATTAATTTTGATTTATAAATATAGAAAACAGAAAAATTAATGTATTGGTTGATAACTTTTTTTGTTTTTGGATTAATATCTTCAATTTATTCTTTGATTGATGTGCCCCTTGTATGACTCATGTCTCTTTTCTATTATGAGAGGTTGAACATGTGATTTTTGGATCAAATTAATTAGCAAAAAATTGACTCTTATACACATTTTAATTTTTGGACACATAGAACTTAACAAAGATGTGACATGAATTTATTTGTCAAAACCTAAACATTCTTATGATTTATTGATTAAGGTTTTTAAGAACTCGCAAATAAAACAAATTTTCTTGCAGAAAAAAAAATCAATGCAAGCATCAATTTCACCAATGATAGTATGCTATGAATTAAATTTGGTTAATGATAATATGTTATAAATTATATAAAGGCTTAGACATGAATAAAAGTTTTTATTATTTATGTTCTAATTCATAAAATAAAAAAATAATACTTAGTTAAAGAGTTTAAAAAGAAATAATAATATAAAATTCAAATTAATTTCTAAATCCTAGCTTTATATTTCTTTATATAAAGAAATAAAAAGGTATATTTCTTTATCTAAAAATCAAGTTCAATTTTTTCTAATATTCATATTGTAAGTATTAGTTTAAAAATTATTTAATAAAGAAAATAAAATTTTTTAAAAAATTAAAAGAACGAAACCTTTGATGCACATCTAAACATTCTGCACTTAAACATAAACCCAAACATGAAATCCACTTGCAGACCAAACATGAGACAATAGAATCAACATAAGTTACATAACCAAACAAGCTAGATTGCAGGAGCACATTCGAGATAGGGATCAAGGCTAAAAAGACCAGCTTTCATTGTTCACAATTCACATAGCAAAAAAATAAAAATCACAACAAAAGCCTCACAAATGACAAAACACATGAAAATACAAAACAATCTGAATTTCATTGTTCACATAACAAGCACAGTTTATCAACTACTCAAGTTCCTCAACATTGAATATACCTTGAAGATAAATTTTTTACAAAGGGAAGATGATAGCAAGAGACAACTGGTGATTGGTGAAGAGGGCAACGATGGCAAGAAAGTGGAGCCAACAACAAACAGTTGGCAATGACAATTGATGAGGACTAAGAAAGAAGGTTTTTAGGGTTTCAAAGGGGAAAAGGGGGTTGATTTCATGAAAGAATGCAAATATTGGAGAAGGGAAATAAGAAATAAGGGATTAAAAAGGATAAAAATGGAATTTCACTCCTCTCCCTCAATTTTTTGGTTGGCTCGGGTGGAGAGGATGTGTGGCCAACAATCGAACTGAGCAACCCTTTAAATCGACGATTAAAACTGACTCTTTAAACCGTCATCAAATAATCGAGACGATTGTGGCCGCCGATGTTGATTTTGATAAGTTGCACAGTTGCAACCTACCTGTGCGCATTCCTAATTGAACCATTGACTAACAAAAGTTTATCAACGGTCAAAGAAAATAACTTATTTGATTTAAAATAAGAATTCAATGGCTTATTTAAATGTAATAAAAGAAAATGGGTTAAATTGAGTTTATTGGTATAATTCAAAGACTTATTTACGCATTTAACTTTTTCTTTTCTTTGTTTTTGAAATAAGCATTTAGAAACCTTTGGATTTTGATATCCAACTTTTGCCCAATCCAAATACTCTATCCTTGTTTCTTCTCCCACTTTGTGCTCTGACTCTCATAAAATATCATGTGTTTAATTTTTTATTACTAATTAATACATGCTTGATTTTAAATTCTTTTCTTATTTCTCTTTCAAATTTCCTCTTCTGAGAAATAAGGACAAAATTTAAACCAATAATCCTTTTGTGACAGAGAAAAGGAAATATGAGAGATAAACAAGGAAAAAATTAAAATTATATATATATTAATTAATAATAAACAAGTAGACAAATGGCACTTTGTGAGAGTTGGGGAGCAAATTGGGATAGGAAAAAGGGCAGGGGATTTAGATTCACTTTTACTCAAAAAAATCATGATTAAAGCTTTTGATTTAATATATATATATTTTCAATCATAAACATAAATTCCTAATTATTTTTAAAAATCCAATCTATTTGTTTTCAACCATAATCCATATCTCTTATCAAAATGGTAAGATCAAATTGAAATCTATACAATTTATAAATAAACCAAAAGTCAAATAAAAATATAAAAACTATAACTAGAATAAGAAGAAAAATGTGGAATAGAACTATGCATTTTTTGTTTTTTATTATTTTGAACTTCTTTTTTATACATTTTCTTTTTTCATTAAAAAAGGTAAATATTTTTCATCAACCCGTTAACAAGGGTGGGGCAATTTTCTAGTTTTATATCTGGCTTTAAAGTAATCAATCTTTTTTTTTAATGAATTAGGATTGTTATGGTGTTACATGTATTTTACATGAATTCACTAATTAAATTTTTATCTATTACTATTATCATTGTATTAATGTCCACACATACACAGGTTTAACATTAATTTTCATACATACACAAACATGTTATTAATTTCCAAACATACACAAATATGTTATTAATTTCCAGACACAAGTAAGTTGTTCACACATTCACCGGTTTGGTATTAGTTTTCTCATATACAAAGTTTTGATATTAATTTCCTCATACAGGTTTTGATATTAATTTACATTCATACAAAAGGTTAGGTATTAGTTACTAAAAATACACTAATATGTTATCAATTTTCACACATACAAAGGCATGATATTAATTTCAAAACATACATAATTTTGATATTAGTTTCCCAAAATACATTGATATGATATTAATTTCCATGTATGGGTTTGATATTAGGTTCCAAAAATACACCAATATGATATTAATTTGTACACATACACAAGTATGATATTAATTTCAAACATGCACAAGTTGATATTAATTTCCACAAATATACTGATATGATATTAATTTCCACATATACAGTAGGTTGATATTGATTTCCATACATAGGTTTGATATTAATATCAAGACACATACATGTATGATATTAATTTCCACACATACACAAATTTGATATAAATTTCCATACATACACAAGTTTGATATTAACTTCCATACATACGCAAGTATGATATTAATTTGCACACACACACAAGTTTGATATTAACTTCCATACATACACAAGTTTGATATTCATTTCAAGACATGTACAAGTATGGTATTATTTCTACACATACACAGGTTTGATATTAATTTTCACACATACGCAGATATGAAATTGATTTAAAAAATACACCGATATTAATTTTGTATTAAAAGAGTTTTAGTATGGAAATGGCAGAAATTTGCCATCCGGAATGGGATCTACCCCTTTTGTGTATCTTGGTGTTCCACTGAGGGTGAACTCGAGAAGCCCTCGAACATGGAAATCAATGGCAAGCAAATTTAAAAACAAGCTCGTTTTATGACAAAAGAAATATTTGTCTTTTGGAGGAAGGATTATTTTTTTAAATTTTGTTTTCAACTCATTGCCTGTGTACAACTTATCAGTTTTTCAAGCACCTAAAGGAGTGATTAAGAAACTTGGAAGATACTTTTCTTAAGAGAGGTGGTGACAATAGGAGGAAGATTGCAAAGGTGATATGGGCAGTAGCATGTGAACCGAAGATATTGGGAGGCTTAGGGCTTTCTAATTTTTATCATAAGATTTCAATCATGTTAGGAAAGTGATAGTGGCGTTATGGGGTTGAAAAGGGCTCTGTGGAGAAGGCTCATCCATGGTAAATATGGTGAAGGAAAATTGCACTGGCTGCCTTGAAGCAGCATAAGGAGAGAATGTCAAATGTTTGGAGAAATATAGTGAATTTACCAAAATTTGATGGAGCGGAGAAGTTGGTGGGTAGAAACGAGTCAGATGGTGGGCAATGGAAGTGATGTTTGCTTCGGGTTAAACAATTGGACTACAGCTTGCGATAACCTTGCGAAATTAGGCGTGGACAGGCCACGTGAAGTGCTCCAACTTTTCCCTTAAATGTTTGAGTGATCTTTCCTGTATGCTGGTTGAATTACCGATTTTGGTAATGGTTGTTTACATGTACAGCTTATAGTCTGATCAGCTGGCTATGTTTTTGTAAGCCAAGCTCATTAATTACAACCTGGCCTGACATCTCCTCTGTCAGGTCGCTCTCTTTTGTGTACAGGGGGTCTTCCCCTTCTTTTGCAATGAAAGGCTATGATTTAATCTTCAAAAAAAAAAAATGGACTACAGGCAATCCCTTTAGTACAACGTTTCCAGGACTATTCTCTTTAGCGGTTGGCAAGGGGATTAGAGTAGCAGAGGCATGGAACAAGGAGGACAAAGGAATCTGCATTTTCAAAGATAGCTTTTTGAGTGGGAATTGAGTTCATTGCATGAACTTTTGTAGAATCTCCGAGAGATGTATACCTTGACAGGGAGAAGGACGATAAGCTAAGATGGGAACTTGATCACAACGCTCCTTCTCTATTAGAGATTTATAGTCGCTCTAGATCGTCATGTTACACCTGAACTTGGAAAAGGTATGATTCTCCTCAATTTGGAAATACGTTATTCCTCCTAAGATTCAGGGTTTCTTGTTGTTAGTTATTTTGCATCGCATTCCTACTAAAAGTTTTTTTGAGATCCCGAGGAATCTTGTTTGAGAATAATCAATGTTCATTTAGACGGTGTTGTTTAATGGAGGAGGATTGTGATCATATTCTTATCTCATGCTATTATTCATGGATTGTGTAGTTTTACAGGTTTAAATGGAGGAGGCTATTATGGGTGACTCCAATGCCTGTGGAAATGTTCCTTAAGTCTTGTGAAGATGCCTTGAAAAGAGGTGGTTAACAGTGTGTGGTGCCTACATTTTGATCATTATGGATTGCAAGCAATGATGTTGTGTTTAATGGTAAAAAATGGGATGGGGGAGATTTTTTTTTTTTTTTGTTAATGATAAAGATGAGATCAACATTATGGGTTAAAGCAATTGAAGGCAATGGTTGTATTGATGAAGTCGGGTGATGGTCTGAGCTTAGGAATTTCCAATATACTTCTGTTGAAGGTAGAAAAAGAGTTTTTTGAATTTCTCGAAAAGAAAATGAACTGAAATTTAATGTTAGAAGGTTTTGTTAGGATTAAATTAGGCCTGGCAGGTTGTGGAGGGGTGCTAAGAGACTCATGTGGTTCTGTGCTTGTAATTTTCTTTATTTTTTGGGAATAATGGATTGTAATTTTCCAAAATTAATGACCATTAAAAATGTTTTTTAAGTTTTCATCTTATCGGCATGGATTGATAAGAAATCTCTAATTGTTGAATCTAACTTTAAAGTGACAGTTTTATGAGTATGTAACGTAAAGTTCAGATTATAAGGTAAATTATAATACATTTTAAATGAAATTGATAATTTTTTTTATAAAAAAATTATTGGTGATATTGTGTTTGTGCATACTTTACAGAAGCTAACACTTTTGTCGAGTTTAACTAAATCTGATGTTGACAGATAAGAGATATTTTATGCTTCGTTGTAGTACAAATTGTGGACAAAAAGCTTTCAAGGAGGCCAATGACTTGACTGATAGTGTGCAGAGAATGGTGCGGATATAGCCAATCTGTCGTGTTAAGTTACATGTTTAGAGATGCACTGTGTGCTGTTTTCTCTGAGTCTGATATGTAATTTTTTTTTTGTTCTTTGGGGTGTTGTTTGTGTTTTAGGGGTGCTCTGATTTTCTGCTGGAAATGAGAGGAAAAACTTTGTTTCTCTCATTGTACCATTTATGTTCAATTAATAAATCATTTTGACTTAGCCAAAAAACAAAAAAAAAAACTCGTCTTCCCTAAACTATTATCTTCTACACCTTGACATTGTTGCTGTTCTGTGGTGGTAGAGCGGAGACCCACTCCAATGTCAAGTCCATTCAACTTTTTTCTGCACATGGCTATGTTTCAGTATATTGTATTCATGGGTTATTATAAAATTGCGCATGAAGTTCAGATGAACCTTATCCTATCGCCATCTTAAGATCACCCTCAATTCCTTGTCACTAAATATGTAGTTCACAATATCTACTATATATCATCTCTCTAGCTTGTTCAAATGCAGGATTTAAACATGAAAATCCAATTTCATAGTGGATGTATAGGCCAAACTTATCAGCATGTTGCAACTTACATGGTACTACATATATTTCAGCTAACATGCTAGGCACCTTCGGATATAATAAGAATGTGAATACTCGTACGACATAGGTTTTGCCAATTGTTAGGCGGCCCAAGTTTGTGCATCACCCTTTGCTCTTTGTCTGGAAAATACGTTGCATGCAAACCTTCATCTGTACATGTCTGAAATTCTGGAGAGCTTCAAGTTACATAGACAAAGAGGATTAGGTTTTGCGGGATAGATAATATATTGGTATGCTAGGCAGGCAGCAGTTGCTTTTAGAAGGAAGAGTTTGATGTTGACTCAGTTCATTGCCTCCTCCCCGGCTACAGTGTTAAACTCTATTGGTAATTGAGTGGAATAAGAAAAGACGTTGGGTTTCACATGTTATATAGCGTCGGGTCAAATCGTGTTTGGCACCGGACAAACATATGAGAAGTTGCTAGAAGAAATGGACTCTATGATTTTCAAGGTGCAGACAAATAAATGATGATTGGCTACTTTTTCTGGTCAAATTGGCAGGATTTACTGAGGGAAGAAAATGGTTTCAATATTCGGTCAAATGTGATGTAGGTTAAAGCATTCTTGCTTGTTTTCTAGTTAGAGTAAGTGTTGCCTCTCAGGAAATAATTACCGACAACAGAATTCGGATATGAACAAGTACAGGCGTACCATGGTCTGATCAGCCATCAAGTTTTTAGACTGTATAGCTAGGAATAGTTAGTGCTTGAAGGTGTGATATCCAGATAAGGATCACGCGAATGCATTGTTGTTGTCATGGTGGCTAATTTTGTAAGTACCAATGCTTAATACATGATAGGATATCTGTAGGAACAAAGATGTGAATTGTTAATTATATATATAACCGTCCTTAATCCTAATTCTTGTCCTTAGAATCCACTTTTTGTGTTGTTCTGATTCATTTTACTCGAAATTACCCCATGTGGGGTGCAGCCGAGTTCCCCTCATTCACACGGGCTTGTCATCTAGGAAAGCAACTTGCTCGTCGGGTCTCATGATTTAAACACACAAGACCAAGTTGCTAACATTTTCGGTTTAGGCACTGTCTGTTGTTGAAATTAAAGGCATTGCAGCAACTCCTCTATATATATGTTGACAAGGCTGTTGCCCAGTTCCAGGCACAAACCAAACTTTTTTTTCACTCTGATATTTCTACATTCAAAGAGAATCTTCTCTGCGAAAATGAAAAAGAAAAGAAACTACAAGGAAGGGAGAAGAGCTCCCAAGGGGCACTTCGTTGTTTATGTGGGAGAGGAAATGAGGAGATTTGTGGTCCCATTATCTTACTTGAGAAGTCCTCCTTTTCAGCAACTGTTAGAGAAAGCTGCAGAGGAATTTGGGTTTGACAGCCACAATAGGATTGTCTTGCCTTGCGATGAATCAACTTTCCAGAAGATCTCCGAGGTTGCAGCAAAATGTTCCTAGCTAGTTGAATGAATAGCTCTTGAGCCTAGGCCCTAGGCCGATGGCCATATTTTTGTCTTATGGTTTATGTCTTGAGCAACAAGTCAAATATGCAATGGAACAGTCTTATCTTTGATCTTCAATTATATTACTGATTCTTACGAGGCCGACGACTTACAAAAAAAAAAGAAAGAAAAACATATATATATATATTTCTGTGTCCACAAGAAGAATCCTAAGATTCCCTCCCTCTGCTGGCTTCAAGTACAAGGCGTCTTCCTTATGCCATCTTTTACGATTTCTTGTTCCTTTTATACTACATTCTACAAACAGCCTTCCAGGATCCCAGCCTAAGGTATTTGTTGATGCCTTCCAGATATAGCAAGAATATATTCCATTCGTGCATGTAACACGTTTTTTTTAAAAAATTTCATTCTCATTCATTGCATCAATCACCATTCTCACACAACTCAAGGCTGATGTAATTATTCCCTGAAGGCCTGAAACTCATGTTTTTATTATTGCCTCAAGATTGATATGCCCAAGCGCGTGCATGCGCAGACTGCTGCTAATTCTATGTCTGCTTCGCTTTCCTTTTCTTTATACAAAGAGAAGGGCAAGTTTTTTCTGCTCTGACTGCTCTCTAAGTACTTTTAGAATCGGCTACTAGGACAACTCCTTGGGGATCATTCCCTTCCAAGGACAAGCTCCTTTGAGTGCCGAAGCCTGCTAAAAAACTGCTAATATCAGCCATAAGGTGCCTTCTCAATACCACCATGTACTCTCCCGGTGCTGTCTCTAGCTACAATCCCTGCACTCAATTTTGGTTCAGAAAATTCACCGTTGCTATCATGTTTAATTCAACCTGGTACAGGAGGAAATAATCCACCTTTAATTTGTTGAAACATAAACCTGAGATTTTGCTATAAAATTCACTTATATCCACATTAATTTGGGAAATACTATCTTATTCCATAATTTAAACGAAAAGATAAGTATACATTTTTGCTATTTATTTATTTATTTATTTTTTGCTTTCTTTTTATCTGATATTTTCTGTTTTGATTTTACCCAAGGTTTTTTTGTTATTGGGAAAAAAATTTTCAGACTTACTTAGTTAAAAATATGGGTGAAAGATTTATTTAGTTTTAAATTCATCTTTAATAACCATCTATTAATTAGTCAATTATGTATTAACTATGTTAAATTACATATATTTTAATTGAGAAAAATAATTGTCATTAATCATAAGATTTTAGTGAAAATAAACTTACTCCCATTATTTTGAAAAACACTCTTTATTTCTCTTCAAAAGTGATTGATACCATAGGATTCTATACATTAGTCAAATTATTGTTTAAAATTTACTTTAAATATTAAAAATTTCTCTACTATTTACTCTCTATTGTTATTGCATTGATTTTTCAGTTAATACTGTCAAGAAATTTTTAGAAATCTAATTCACCCTTCTCTTGGATTATTCAAAATAATTGAATTAATAATCTTGAATTTAAAAAAAGTATAATTAAATTAGAATATAACTTAATTAAAATTTAATTGAACTAGTTAAATCTCACATTTATTAATAAAATAATATCTTCGAGCCAGATTGGGCTGGGATGCCCAAGTTCGGCTCAAGTCGGGCCACAGGCCCACATCTACTGCTGCTTGAAGTCGCTTGCCCTTTGCGCAAGTCTCCCCGGAATAAACTTTGATCGGGCTTCCAAATTTTTAGAAATTTGTCTGTGAAACTCTCTCCATCTCTCGCTCTACAGTCGGAGAATTAAGGCCGAAAGCCATCAAGCGAAAAGGTGCGTTGCCTTTAGTTTTCCTTTTTCATTTGTTTGATTGCTTCATCCATCTTCTTAGTTCGTTTGTGTCTGTGATGGGAAGCTTCAATCCCTTTGAAATTTAAAGGAGCCATCCACGGAAATAGTTTTTACACTGTCTTTATTTAATGGCGGCTTCCGATTTGAAAATGGGTTTTCATTTCGCTCAATATTTTCCTTTCTCTGAATTTCTGATTTAATAGATGCTTAGAAACTTCCTGCATCAGATTTATTCTAACGTTTAATTTTGAGATGATTAATATAATTAAGGAATGAGGGAAAACTTGGAGTAGACTAGGAATATTAAGATTAATGAAGATATTTAATTAGGATTTTGTAACATGCTGTTGCTTTTGGATTTTCTAATTCAAAAAAAAAAAAAAAGAGGAATGTATTGGCTTTTTCTTGCAGTAAAATGCCCAGTCTGGTTAGTTGGGCGGAGTAGAGTTGTAGATTTTGCTTTTGCTAATGTGGTGTATGTTGTCCTGGGATGAGCTCGTACCTTTTACAGCTTTGTTTCTGTCTTTGATTTTTTAATACCCTTGCCCTTGATTACTCTGCTTTGTTTCAGGGATTGCACATTTAGATTTTTCAGAGAAGTATGGTGACTCTAGATTTGGTTGTAGTCAGAAAAGTATGGTTATTATTGTATAAACTTAAATCTCAATGTCAAATATCAACCTAGGTTTTAAGCCTATAGAAAATGAAACCCACTTAACTAACAAATAAGGTATGAAAAAATTAACTAAATAAAAGTTTAAAAGGGGATTAAATCCTATTTCCTAAATTTAAGTCTGGAATAGACATTCTTCTAAAACTGGCAAGAATGTTTTCCGTTTTCCTTCAGTTGACAAGAACCTAAATCTGGAATGTTAGACTGCAAAGACCACTCAAATAGCTTCGCATCTAGCGGGCGAAACTTATCAGTAACTTTCCAAGAAGCGTTTGAAAATGGTGACCCTTTCCACTGAACAAGATATCTTTGTAAACCACCATTACCATAAACTAGTCTCACAGTCTCTTAATCTGAAATAGCTTCGACCTCCTCCTTTTGAGATGGAAACTTTGGCACCCTCAGAATGGATGTTCCTGCAAGATTACTAGAAGGCAACAATCGAGGCTCAAAAGTACCTCCCTAGAGTAATAAATCTTCCACATTGAAAACAAGACTAATGTTTAAAGTAGGCAAATCAAGTAAATAAGCATTTAGTCTAAGTTTTTGAATAATATGAAAAGTGCTATAGCTCAAGCATGTAGTTTCTCAAAAGCATTTTTGGGTAAACTTTTAGAGTGAATATGAACCATCACATAATCACCAACATTAGCATCAAGCTCTACAATGCACGTTAGCAGCAAGTTTATAATCCATATTACTCATTGAAATGTTTCATCTAACTTCAGCATGGACATCAAGAATATGGTGAGCAGAAGTTTCAGTAGGTTCTGATGTGCAAAAACGTAGGGGGAAGGGGAACAGGTCAATAGTGCAGGAGGTTTGATATCATAGACTAACCACTTACTGGACTCTTTCCTGTAGACATATGAATAGAATTATTATAGGCATACTAAACAATAGGTAAAACCAAATCCAGACTACCTTGCTTCTCTCCTACAACACATTGCAACATACTCTCCAATCAACAATTCTACCTAAGTTTGACCACCGGTAGACCTGAGACTGTCAAAATTCACGCCATTTTCCTATTGTTCAAAAGCTTCAACCTAGTGCTTATTTGCTTGATTTGCCTTATTCAAATAGTAGTCTTATTTTCAATATGGAAGATTTGTTACTTTATAAAGGTACTTTTGAGCCCCCGCTCTTGCCTTCTAGTTATTTTGCAAGAACTTCCATCCCAAAGGTACCACTGTTTCCATTTTAAATGGAGGAGATTGAAGCTATTTTAGATGAAGAGACTATCGCTTTTGCTAATGGTTCTGTACTGAGATATGTTGCTCCGCAAGAAGGCTGACCATTTTCAGATGTTTCTTGGATTACTGCTGATGAGTTTCACAAGCTAGATGTGGAGCTCTTTAAATGGTTCTTCTTTCTTACTCTCCGGAGTTGAGTTCTTGTCAACCAAGGGAGAATGATGGAGGACATTGTTGCAAGTTTTGGAAGAATGTCTAGATGTAAATTTAAGAAATAGGATTTAATCTATTTATGGGCTTTTGTTTGGTTTATTTTGTTTAACCTTATTTGTTAGTTAGGTGGGCTTTAATTTTTATGGGCTTAAACTTAGGTTATCTACATTTACATATACATATACCTAGGTTTTATTAAATTTGGAGGTTAAGTTTTGATGATGGATATTTGTTATTGAGATTTGAGTTTATACAATTGAGCTTTTCAGATTTTATTTTGGGTTATTTGTTCTACTCATTTAGGTTCTCATGTTTTAAAATATAGGTAGGAAGTAATGAGCTTGATGATGATGAGTGAAATATCAGGTTTCGAATCTATTGAGTCTGCTTGCTGTTTCTTTGATTTGGAAAGAGGAGGTGCTACGGTGTTCAAAGCCTCTGGTTGAGTGCATTAGGGCATTAGCTCCTTTGGGAGAGGGGTTAAATTAGCTATCAGATTCAAACTAACAAAAAAGAATAATATAATAAATATAATCTAACTTTGTGGAATATTCATGGAAAATCATTGAGTTTCTCTCTTCTCTCTCTTTGATCTTATTGAGGTATGTAATATACATGATTTACACATTTCACTTATTTTCAGCACGTGTCTTCAATTCTTGATACTGAAAATAGAAACGTGGATGTTGCATTACCGGTGTTGGCTGCATAAAGTGTCTTATCTTCTCTGTTCACTTTCACTGAAAAAAGAAATGACGATGATAAAAATGTATTTGATTGGATAAAAAGGAACCTTATTTCATTATTACTTGAAAGCCTTGATTTATTATCCTTTGCTCCAATTTATCATTTCAATCATTTATTTATTTTTTAATTCCATTTTTCTCCCCTTTTCTTCTTTTATTACACTCTTAGTGTGCTTTCTTTTTGTCTATTTTCTGTTAACACTGACAGGTTCTTTTTTTCTCCTTCCTTTTCTGTTTTTAGTTATTTCAATTGTTGATCAGCAATAACAAAAATGTCTCGGAGATATGATAGCCGTACAACGATCTTCTCCCCTGAAGGTCGCCTTTACCAAGTTGAGTATGCAATGGAGGCCATTGGAAATGCTGGCACTGCGATTGGAATATTGTCAAAGGATGGGGTTGTCTTGGTCGGTGAAAAGAAAGTTACTTCCAAGCTTCTTCAAACCTCTACATCTACAGAGAAGATGTACAAGATTGATGATCATGTTGCTTGTGCTGTGGCGGGAATAATGTCGGATGCAAACATCCTCATCAACACTGCTAGGGTGCAAGCACAACGATACACATATGCTTACCAAGAGCCAATGCCTGTTGAACAGTTAGTTCAATCTCTTTGTGACACAAAGCAGGGTTACACACAGTTTGGTGGTCTACGCCCCTTCGGTGTTTCATTTCTTTTTGCAGGATGGGACAAAAATTATGGTTTCCAACTTTACATGAGTGATCCTAGTGGAAACTACAGTGGATGGAAAGCTGCAGCTATTGGTGCCAATAACCAGGCAGCACAGTCAATGCTAAAACAAGATTACAAGGATGATATCATGAGGGAAGAAGCAGTCCAACTTGCACTGAAGGTGCTCAGTAAAACCATGGACAGCACTAGCCTTACTTCAGAGAAGCTTGAATTGGCTGAGGTTCTCCTCACACCTTCTGGGAATGTAAAGTACCAGGTCTGCTCACCTGATTCTCTGAGTAAGTTGTTGCTGAAGTTTGGAGTGACCCAACCTGCTGCTGAGGCTTTTTGATTTAGGTTCGTTATTTTTCATATGTCATTGTGACAGTTTAGTGTACTTTATTTATATTCTCTCGCTAATGGGATTGAAATATCTCTCGGATAATGTTGCTTGAAGTGAATTAAACTTTGAATTTACCGATGATGTTGTCATGGGCTAAGGGGATTGAGTCTTTTATATATATATATAAACAAAGAATGTACGTTTTATTTGATTTTAGCAAGGTTTGTTTGGGTGCAAATTTGAGTGGTACGTATGAAGAATGTACGTTCAGGTTGGCGCTGCAATCAGTTTTGTAATGGAACTTCAGGCCAAACTGCTGTGGGATATTATCTGACTTGGTCTAGAGCATGATTTTCAAGGTTCAATGGGTCCATGATGCATAATGGCTTTACCATGTTGCTTGTGAAGAAGCAAGCACTGTCTATGCTTTAGTGTTTAAAGTAAGCACATCTTGGCGCTGGACCTATCTGACTGTCTTGCTAATAGCAGATGATGAGCGAAACAAATCTAATACCTTGCTGTTAATTTCGGTAAAAGCGGTTGGCATGTCTACAAACATGTAGATAGAATTGTTTGCTAAAAGAGTTAAACTATACTCAAAACGAAGATCCACCTCTTATCCGCATCAACTGTTGTCCGTCTCTCTTGTGCTTTGCTTCGGGGTCCGAATTTTCTTTATTGATATGACCAAATGATTTTTGTTATTTTTTAGAATATTTATGCTCTCTTTTTTCCTGCTTAAGAATATCTTAATTTAAAGTAATCAGATTTTATCAATAATGATACTTTTAATTGAGAATTAAAATAAAAAAGAAAGACGTAATACGTCTTGAAATTTAATGATTATTCTTAAATTATATAGATAAGTAAAATACTTCACATTGTAATAGGTGTATTGAAATTAAATTGACACATATTTTATTAATATTTTAAAGATATTCATATATTCATGAATCTTAATATATATTATCATTCATTCACTTTTTGGAAGGTATTCAAATTCAAATTCGTTAATTCTTTTAATGTCGATGGTTTAATGAGAAAATAAAATGAAATGGATAATGTTAAGATTATATATATATATATATATATATATAAAATATCAACAAAGTGAACTAAAAACCCTTTTAGGAATTAAAAAATGCTTATGCGCACAAAATCAAGCATGTTACCTTTATATATACATAATAATATGAGGTAAGTTAAAAAAAATTTTAACATATAGGCTATATGTACTTTGATTGTATATAAGTTAATAATTATATAGTTTTTTCCTTAAAAGTTGAAAATATGTTCTTATGTTTTTTGTTAAGTTAGAGAAATTAAAATTATATGATTCTCCATAATTTAATAAGTAAATGATCAATAATGATCTTTAACTATATATATATATATTGGTTTTTTTATTCATCTACATGTACAATTAATTTGTTCTCTTAAGTAATTTAAGATAATTTACTTTACTTAAGTAAAAAACAACCTGTAAAAGAATTACTTGCTCCTCCCATCATAAAGTGAAAATTTTCAAGAACATTCTTAATCAAGTAATTTTCAATTAATTTCATTTTAAAATTTCATTGGAGTTTATCCTTATCTAGATAATTTTTCTTAAACAATTTATATTATTTGAAATACTAATATGTATTGTATCAATTTTATATAATTGCTATTCCAATTTTAAGGTTCTTATGCTTTTAAAAAAATCAAAGTTCTTAAATTAAACTTATGTAAAATCAATCATGATTAAACTTTTAACACAATACAACACTTAAAAATTGAAATGGTCATAGTCAGTATGATTATTGTTTAGATTATTTGATATATTGTACATGGATTCATAATATAAAAAAATTTTAATATTTAATATTATATACAACTTTTCCCTCCCAAACTGAAAAATCTTAGTTCCGTCTTTGTTGCCTTCAAAATTGAATTTAGGGGTGAATAATAAATTTGCCACTGTATTATGATCAATGGTAAAATCTTGTCATTATATTTCAATTGTCTTGAATTTTGCCATCTTGTTTTCACATAAGTTGATTTTTGGAGAAAAATTACCAGTGGAAAAATATTATATTGATTTATATGATTCATTAATATCTAGCAATAACCTCACTATCTCATATACAATATGTCACGAGCTAAAACTTATACTTAATTTCGAATGATTTTAAATTTAAAAATAAAATTTAGATAAATTTATAAATTACAAATTTACATTTTTAATTCAAAAAACGTACTTAAAAAATGATGAAAGATTTATAGTTATAAATCAAGACTCTTTTATTTTTACCAACGTGAGATCTATAACACAATATATATATATATATATGTAGCTGATATCGTTCACCTATCTTGTTTTTTTGTTGTTGTTGTGTTTACTTGTCAGTTGGTGACTTTGTGCCCTACATGAGCAGGTCCTTTTCACCATGGAAAGGCATGCATCTACGAATTAATAATTTATAGTAGAATTTAATCCAATGATAATATTCAAGGGGCGGGGGTGGCCGGCATTACCGATTGATAAGATTCCTTCCAGCAATAACAATTTGGACAATCACGAGCAATTCCAACTGTGTCGATTTCGGAGGCTGCCCAAATAGCTTCACATGGACCAAAAACTCCAGGACCCAGCAGGTTCACTCCATCTTCCACACGTGCTAATAGAACATGGAGGGTTTTTGGTTCTTCTTGCTCTTGCTGATCCCGGAGAAATGGGGGAAGTAAGGAGTACCACGTTAGAGCCAAATCCAAATAAATTAATAAACTATTGTCATCTTGTTTTGGGGGAGGAGGAGGAAATTGATGAACAATGGCTGGTTAACCTCGATGAGATAATGTGAGAATAATGGGCACAGAAAGATTTGTCTCTTTGGATAAAAATGAATATGGTTTCTCGCTGGCAAAGGGAATAATACCCTCGTTTCTTCAGCACACAAATGTCACTTTCCCTTCATTAATAATTGTAAAGAATGTGGAAAAAATGCTTGCAAGAGTAATCCAAGAAATCTCTTCACTGGACCAAGGCGGAAGGATTCATTCGATAATGCAGATTGTAAATGGTTAGAAACTAAAGCTACAGGCATGATACAGATAGTAGAATTCAGCTTTTTTTATTACGTGTGCAGTTAACAGTCACTTTCCACTTAGCAAATTAAGAAGCCGACAGCAGCTGCAGCAACACCCTTTTTTCCTGCCATGGATATTGAATATTTGCTTGAAGACTTGAAGTGTTTTAAGGAGTCTGTTCCCATGTTTTAAAATTTTTGTTTTCCTCAATTCTGGACCAATTCAGACTCATTATAGGAAGACGACGGTGTAGAATGATGAGTCTGACAGATAATCCTGTGATATTCATCTCTGCTTTCTCTTTCTTTTCTTCCCCCTCGTACCGCAGCATATTCCGATTTATGTATATGGTACAGTATTTTTCACTTAAATGAATCATATTAGGAGAAAGATATGTTTGTCATATTGTCAACTTTTCCCGGAGGAAAGGTAGGGTCCAGAATTTGTTCTTTGTTAGGAAAAAACCAACCACTAATGATCAAATGACATCTAAGTATAGGAGCAACCTCTACCGATAAAGAAAATAAATCGGATCTACACATACGAAAGATAAATAATTAAGCTGATTTCGGCACATTTCACCTACTTCAATATTCAGAGAGAAAATTTAGTAGGCAATGAATGCATACAAAGAAATCTAATCTGATAGAATTATTTTAGGTTTAGTTTATATCTCGATTCGAGTTGAATATGATGCTGTCATTCCAAGTAATTATAACATCTGTACATGACGGGGAGAGGAGGTGGGTGTAGTTTTGGATTAAGTGGAATTTACCATTGACATGTCAAAACACAATAGAGATGTCTACGGTAGGATAAAGTAGACAGAAGATTAGATTGTATATTCAAATTAACAATGGATTACCTCATAGGTTTAATATATGATAAGATGATAATTCAGAACCACTACATTTGAATTTAGTAATAATTAAATGAAAATTTTATCTGTACTTAAATTTAATTATAATAACATACATGATAATCAGATAAATGAAAATTTCAAATTGAATATTTATCTGTTGATAGTATTTATCTGATTATAAGTATAGGGATTGTTTTGGAGAAAAATAGGGAGAAAGAGGGATTGAACCTGCAGGGACTCCAATGAACAATTCCTAAAATACGAGAGCTGGTAGTATCATTTGATTTTTATAAAAATAAAGCGCGTATCGCACCAACCTCTTTTTAGGCCTGATGCTGACTTATTTGTCAGAGCATTAATTTGTAGTATTTTCATTATAAAATCCAAGACTATTGTTACCACTACAACCATACCCTTCATCGCTACGTCTCTATTGCACCACAATATAGCAATCTCTTCAAAGTATAAACCCGTCTTCGCAGTTGGATAATCAAATAATTACTAGACAAATAAACTAGCTTAAGTATAGGAAGCATTTATTGGTTGTCCTAGACGCATTTCAGACACCTTCAGAAGCCATAACCCTGTCTTCAGACAATAGACACCAAAGTTCTTCGGCCATGGGCAAATCCACCGTCATTGAAAGATGGTGGCTTGTCACCTTCGCAAGCTTTATAGTTGTCCTTCTCGTTTTCCTCAATCACAGCCCCGGTGGCAACAATATATCGGTGCTTCAAAATCTGACAATGCCAATTACAGCTTCCAATGGGCTCGCCATGCCTACCATGCAGTCTCCTTTGCCCCCAAACATCATTGAGAATGAGGAACCAGAAAAACCTTCGAATCAGTTTCCCATGTCCAAGTTGCAATCTTGCATACCACTAAACGAAAACAAAGATTTCCCTGAAACATCCTCTTCTCAGATTCCTTTGTCAGGCTTGCAAAATCCAAAACTGCCCGACTTGTCTGAAACTGTGAAACAGGCAACCCCTTCTCTTCAGGTTCCCATTCCAGGTTCGCAAGAGGCAACATCTTCTTCTCAGACTCCTTTGTTAGACGCGCAACATCACGAACCATCCAAATACAATGATGATGAAGAACCAATTACAACGGAGAAAGAAGGAAAATGCAATATCTTCGAAGGAAAATGGGTTTATGATCCTAGGGAAAGTCCACTATACGACGCAGCAATGTGTCCATTTTTTAGTGATACAGTGAGCTGCCGGAGGAATGGACGGCCAGACAAGGAATATGAAAAATGGAGGTGGGAAGCTAATGACTGTAAGATTCCTCGGTAAGCAGCAATATTTCTACTCCGCTAATATATGGTTTCATTTTCATCTTCCTTACAATGTTTATTACATGAGCTTTAACTCCTTCCTTCTGGTTTAAACCTTTCTAATACTAGTATCTCTTTCTTTTTCCCTGAAAGGTTTAACGCCAAGGACATGTTGGAGAGACTGAGAGGGAAGAGAGTTGTAATAGTTGGGGATTCGATCAACTTTAGCCAATTTGAATCTCTTGCTTGCCTTTTGTATTCTGCTATACCTGATCGATCTTATGTCGACGCTCGGAGTCGGGTCTTCAGGGCGGAGGTGAGGCAACATGGTCATCATATTGCTCTGTTCTCTACTTAATAAGGACATGATCAGTCTCTTCATCTGTTTTACTTTCCTAAACTATATACCAAGTATATAAACAACAAAGACGTCCATAAGTTATTATATAAGTAGGACAAATTTCATCATAATTTATTGATTCACTGCGTACTCCCTCTAATCAGTTAATTGCTTGTTTCCTCTTAATTTCAATTCAATGTTAATTCGGTCTTTTTGTCTTGAATTGTTTTCTTAATTCGCGTGACCCTAATACCTAACAAGCGGGGACAAATTTGATGGGGTTGCAGTCTTATAACTTGGTTATTCAGTCTTACTGGGCTGAATTTCTTGTGGAAGTAATACTGAACAAGACAGATGGCAAAAAGACTTTAAAACTCGACTCACTTGTCCCCACTGCTTGGAAATGGAAAGATGCAGATATTATGGTGTTCAACACTGGTCACTGGTGGGTGAACCGCAAAAGGTAATGTAACTTAATAATTTGCTCAATGCAATGTGTGTGTGTGTATGTACAATTATTATTATAACTTAGTAACTTTTGTAGTCTATTAATGGGGTGAAAATTTATTGGTAGCAGGTGGGACTGGTTTCAGTTCAAGCGGAAAGTGTTCGATGATATGAAGATTGAAACAGCGTTTAAGGTTGCAATGAAGACTTGGGGTCGTTGGATAGACAGAAACGTAGACATTAACAAAACAAAAGTCTACTTCAGGAGCATGTCTCCGCCGCACTTTGGGAAGGACTGGTGCTACAAAGCAACCAGGCCCATCATGGATGAGTCCTACCAATTAACATTCGGCAAATCACTGAAAGAAATTGTCGAGAAAACACTGCAAGGCATGAGGACGCCGGTGAAGTACTTGAACATCACAAAACTAAGCGAGTACCGGAACGATGCCCATTCTTCCATTTACGCAACAAAGCAAGGGAAATTACTGGTGGCGATCAAACAAAAACCCCCAGCGATGGTGGCTGATTGTAGCCACTGGTGTTTGCCTGGTGTTCCTGATACGTGGAACCACCTACTTTATGCATCCATGGTCTTAGATGGCTCCAGGGACATTTCTACTTCCTGAAATTCAATTCGGTTCTTTTTTTTTTAATTTCTGTCTTTTCTTTTAACAAATTTGGTCAGAAGTGATAATGATCACTGTGGAAACCAGAAGATAATTAACCCTTTGAGCAATTCATGCTAAAATTGGATTAATGCGAACTGTCACTTGACAACTTGACATTGATTCCAACAAAGAAAAGGAGGCTTCATATTTGACTTACTACTCCAGGGAGGGACTGAGTCTGAAGTTCGCTTCAATAATTACTACTTCATTTCAGGGCTAGTTATTTGCATCGGTCCAAGTTGCAGTCATCGTCTGTTGTTTAATCAGGAAAGTTCAATTGCTTCATTGAACCCAAACCACGGTATCCAAAGCATTCATTTCATGAAATTTCAAATATATGTATTGTAATGAATTGGTTATTTTGTTCTTTAATTCTACGTTGTTTAATTATTTGTTTACCAACTTTTATGTATTAACCTTACAACTCCGCTGTGTGGTTGTGCTTTCAGATATCCTCTTATCAGTTTAGTCATGTTGGGAACAAGGAAAAGAGCAAACCCACACATCCGACAAAAGAAAAAACAAATAAGAAACTCACGGAAGAACTCAAAACACGCTTTTCTCTTTCCAATTTTCTTCAGAAAAAGTAATTTCATTAATAAATAGTTGAGATATAAATTTCAATAAAAAAAATTATATCAAGGTCCACATTTTCAATCTGTACGAGCCTATAGAGAAATTGTTGAAAGCAAATTCGATCGGAAAATAAAGATGGGGTGAGACTTTTTCATCCATATTCTTGTTTGATGCTGACTGATATGCATGCCATCCACATCTGTGCATTAAGATTATTTGTGAAATAATTCCAACGTTTGTTAATTATAAAAAACCAACATGCATCCAACCCTTCTCATCACTGTCTCAGGACCACTGATCCCACAACCACAACCTCTACCTCTGCCCTCATTAGCACCACGACTTGGCTATCTCTTGAAAAGCAAACTCCACACCCGACCCTAAATTTACCCAGCTCTATAGCTGGATAACAAGACTCATATTTTAATAATTTTTCCAAAAAGGTTATGTAAAATCTTAATTTACCCGACTTGAGAAAGTTCTTAATGTTTAGCCCACGCTCATTAGAAACAGTTAAGGAAACACAAGTCTGCCTTCGAGCAGGACAAGTAGTTCTTCAGTCATGGGCTCCTATTCAGCCATCAGTGAAAGGTGGTGGCTGCTCACCTTTGCAGGATTCATACTCGTCCTTCTCCTTTTCCTCAGCCACAGCCGCAATGGCTACAACATATCTGTGCTTCAGAACCTGACAGTGCCAATAACAGCTTCTACTCAGTATACCATGCGGGACAACATGCAGTCTCCAATAACTTCGGATCACATTGATAATAAGGAACCAGAAAAATCTTCTGATCAGAATCCCAAGTTAACGTTGCAAGCTTGTATGCCATCAAAGTTTACTTATAGTGAGAAACCAGCAACATCTTCTTCTCAGGTTCCTTTTTCAGGCTACCCACATTCAGAACCATCACACATCTCTGATAATGTAAAACCGGCAATGCCTTCTCGGGTTCCCTCTTTAGACTTCGAAAATTCCAGGCCATCAAACTTTACAGCTGGTAAAATCGAACCGGTGACATCTTCTTCTCAGTATCATTTATCAGGCTCGAAATATCCAAAACCATCAAAGAATTTCGATGATGAAAAACCAAATTCAACGGAGAAGAAAATGCGAAGATGCAATATCTTTGAAGGAAAATGGGTTTATGATCCTGGGGAAAGTCCTCTGTATGATTCAGCGATGTGTCCATTTTTAAGTGATAGAGCAAGCTGCCAAAGGAATGGACGGCCAGACAAGGAATACGAAAGATGGAGGTGGGAAGCTAATGAGTGTAAGATCCCTAGGTAAGCAGTGCTTTGGCTCATAAATGCTTTCATTTCACATTCCTCTTTCCCTAGTGTAGCATTGTAAGCAGGTCCTTCCATTTTGCTGTAAGGTTTGACGCCAGGGACATGCTAGAGAGACTTAGAGGTAAGAGAGTTGTACTAGTTGGGGACTCCATCAACTTTGGCCAATGGGAATCTCTTGCGTGTCTTCTTTATTCTGCTATACCTGATAGATCCCACGTTAATGCTCGAAATCGGGTCTTCAGAGCAGAGGTAAGAGAACATTATTCCCATCGTTCTTGTTAGTTTTGATCTTCTTCTCTATGAATATCTCTCTCAAGTCTCAAGTACTGTTTTAGTCTTGTTAAGCAAATGGTTGAAGAAATTCAAAAAGATGGAAATAAGTAGACAATTTTAACTTGCATATGGTTTCTCCAGTTCGATTTCCACATCTGCTCGATATTCTTTCTCCCAACTACTTTTATTTGTTCATTCTACGTGATGAGAAATTCAACAGGCATGCTTCCAATTCAAAAATATTACTCATTGCCTTCATTATTTTCCTTAACGAGAAAGTAATATTTGATGTTATACAGTCCTATAACTTGATAATTGAGTCTCGCTGGGCGCAATTTTTGGTGGAAGTAATAGTGAATAAGACTAGTGGGAAAAAGATATTAAACCTCGACTCTCTTTCCTCTACTGCCTGGAAATGGAAAGGTGCAGATGTTATGGTATTCAACACTGGTCACTGGTGGATGAGTCGCCAAAGGTAATAATTCTTAAACGGGATGTGGATATGTAATTGTGAAATGATTACCTTTGCAGAGGTAATGGGTGAGAATATTGCATTGCAGGTGGGACTGGTTTCTATACAAAAAGAAGCTCTATACAGATATGAAGCTCGAAAGAGCATTCAAGCTTGCTATGCAAACTTGGGCTGGTTGGATCCAGAAAAATGTGGACACAAGCAAAACAACAGTCTTCTTCAGGGGCCTGTCTCCGGGTCATTACGGGAGAAACAAGTGCTACAGAGCAACCCAACCGATCAAGGATGATCAGCCTTTCAAACTGAAACATAGTGAATCACTGATCAAAGGCATTGTTGAGAGAACAATCCGAGGCATGAAGACACCGGTGAAGTTCTTGAACATCACAAAACTAACAGAGTATCGAAAAGATGCTCATTCTTCAATTTATTGGAAGAAAGAGCAATTGAGGCCCGGTCCCGATTGCAGTCACTGGTGTTTGCCTGGTGTGCCTGATACCTGGAACCACCTTCTCTATGCAACCATGGTCTCTGATAGCTCTAGCTCTAGCTTTGCATAATTTATTTATTTTTCTTTTTATTTTAGCAAAATATATAAGCTTCTTGTTGCAGATGTTTTTTGTTTGTTCATGGGGGTAATAAGAATTCAGATAAACAGCAGATGCTCTATAAAATTAACCAAAACCAGCTAGGCTCGAACTTGACTCGCTGCAGGGGCTTATGGCCATAGGACAGCAGCTTGCAACCCAAGTTAACCGCATAGCTAACTTAGCAACTTCAATGAGGGTATATTTTTGTTCAGATGCTAAATGAAGACTTGTAATATTTTTCATTTAATATTATTCTTGACACCAAATTTAAGAGAACAATGCATTAACTATGAAAAATTCTTATGGTTACCAACTTCTCAAAACTGAAGGCCAGTAATAGATCACCCTTATTCATTTTTGCATACCAAACACAACATTCTTGCATTTGTATCAGAAACAGCACGAAAGAAAGAGAATCAGGCCAATCCAGACATGTTTTTGCATTGCTACTACCATGTGAGAAGTGTAACTTGAGCAGTTCAAAAGGACAGCATAGTAACGACCATTGAGGACTCATACACAATAAAAATATTTACATATTGATGAATAAACTTTTAGATGGCTTACAGATTGCTGAAATTTTAACATCTTGTACCCTATTGAACCTCTGCCTCTGTTTCCGCAAACAGGGGAACTAGGTCCGCTAATAACTTTTGTATACTAATTATTTAGATCGTAACCGGAAAAGGTGTTTCCTTTTCCTTTTCCTTTTCATTTTTTGCCCTACAGCCACAGTATCATAAATGCTACTTCAATAGTGTGAGTTGGGCACCATTAGCATCAAGTCCAGCATCTCACTTAATTCATCAGCACTTCAGCAGGGATGGATGGAAGTAACCTCGAGGTTAATTTGATTATGCACATAAAGCTGACATCCTCCACCTAGAGAAGCTCCCACTCAGAATCCAAGACATCATGATTAAGTGTTCTCCTTGTATCCTCTCTTGTTACAGCCGATGTTGAACTCCCCTCAGAGTCTTGATCAGATTTTACATCATCTCCATACCATAGAGGAAGTTGTTCGTATTCCTTTTTCCTTGCTGACCTCATCCTTGAAGAAATTGCATCACGAATCTTTCTCTGGAAGAAGAGGAAATTGTCATCTGAATGTCACGAGAGAGAAGGGGGGCAGGAGAAATACAGGGATGTCAAAGCACCTGGTAAGTTTTGTGTTTGCCTTCCCTCTGAGGATGAAAATGAAGTTCAGCTCCATCTACCATGAAACAACTTTCATCAACTCGTATTTTATCTAATTGTTGAACAGTTTCATTTTCCTTTCTACCAACAGTACAGCTCCCTGAGGCATCCATGGTCCAGTTTAATTTTCCTGCAAATTTCATGACACCAATTACAACATGCAGCTTGGCAGATACAAAAAGGGTAAGAAACTTGTATTGAAAATAAGGAAACACCAAAAACCAATAAAAGGGTGGAGGTGCAGGGGTGACAATGGTGGTGATTGTGGGGGGAGTACAAAGAGATTGCTTTGCATAAATGGCTTCTAGTAAGATCAATGACACCAATAAGCAGCAATTAAAACAATAACTGAAGTTCTGAGAGAAATTTTTGATGATCAAAAGATTCCTCAAACTTTTACTTAACTCAGTACCTCCATTTGTAGAATTGTTTTGTGTCATTAAATATCAAAAGGACCATTAGCCACACCATTTGCTGGAATGGAAAAAACCTAAACTATGGAGTTAGATCTTTGGTTTTCCAGCAATAAGAGACATGAGTCACATGACCACCTAAGACTGGATTGCGAGTTTTATTTCATCCAGTCAGAAAGTTCGAGTCAGGTGACGGCATCTTTGGGTCACACGTCACACTCACCTATGCAGCAGAGTCTGCTCCATCGCCTGCTGATGTCACCTGCCACGTGAGCGTTGATCGCCATTTCAGCCAGAATTTCCGTCTTTGCTAATTTTGAAGTCCTAATTCCAATTTTGAGGTCCATTTTGCAAGATATATCCTCAAAAGGTCAGAATTTAATTGGTCAGTTTATGACAATCTTTATTTCGAGGTGAACATGATTACTTTGGAGCAAATTGAGGATCTGGAAGATGATATTTATGAAGCTACTTAACACTTACAAGAGTTGATTGCTTTGAGAGAGTGATTTGGCTTTGAAAATTTTCATCCTTCAGTATTTTAAGTGTACTATGGTTTCAAAGATTATATACTCCAAAGTGAGAAAACACTTGAAAATTGGTGATTACAATTTGTTTATGATGGATTGATGGAACTAAAGACGAATTTCAGAAACTGACAGCTAAATTTGGAAAAGGTTCATGCATCTTTCAGATTCTTTTTCAAATTCACCTTTTAAAACATGTTCCTCTAATGTGCTTATGAAGAAGGATTCAATTGAAACTCATATTGTAACTGCTAAAGTGGAAATTACAGTAAAGGATAAATGCTTCAGGAAAGTAAAAAACCAATTTTAGAACCTGTTGTTGACATCCTTGTGGAAGAGGAACGTACCATGGTAGAGATCTAGAGTTGAGAAGCAACACATGCAACATTATCAGCGACTTGGAGAATTTAGAGGTACCTAGTCTCAAAACTGCAGAGGTTGAGAACCTAGAGGTTGCCTTTGAAAATTTAGAGACTGAAGTTTGAAGTGGTTCAAGAAAATAATAACTGTGTGCTGCTACCTAGTAAGGGTTCTACCATTGACTTTTTATTCTACCAATTACAGAGTTCAAGTTTATTGTTTTCAAGGAAAATTCTTCCATTTAAGTTGCTTTGTTGAAGATGTTTGTGCCACCAGTGAAGTTCATATTTGACACTACTATTCATGAATCAGGCTGGAAATTTCTTCTGCTTCAAATTTTCAAAACTCAAGGTTGAGTTTTTTCAAACTAGGGGAGATAGATTGGAGGATAAAGATATTCTAGCTGATAGATTTCATAATCTAGGACTCTATTTTATATTTCATGGATTTAATTGTAACTTCGTATATATATAGAATATTTTAGAATATTTAGGTTATGTTGTATTGATTAGTATTTTCCTTTATCACAAGTATTACTTTTAGGGTTATATTCGGCATTTAGCATTTTATTAGGGTTTCGGGTTTCATTATAAATACCTATGTTTATTTTTTTTAGTTTTGATGAGGTTTTGACAAGTGAATATTGAGATTTTGAGATATTGGTTATCAAGATTTTCTCCCTCTATTGATACTCCAGGTTTTCTTCCTCTTCCATTTCTCCCCCAATTTCATTTGTTCCTCCCTATTTGCTTCTGTCTATTTCTGAGTTTCCCTCTAAATTTCTGTTTTCTATCTCTTTCCCTACTTGTTCTACATCAGGTTGATGGCAACCAGCATGCAGAAAGTTTCAATTGCAACCAAATGATGAACTACCAGACAAATAGCAAAAGTCATTCAGAGAAAAATGAAAAAGAAAATTAAACACAAAAAAATTTTATTCAATGTTCTCTTTTTTTCCCCCACAAATGGGGAGGTGGGAAAGGGAAAAGAGGGGGGGATGACTTCTGAAAACTAGAACCAAACTTAAAGTCACGCCAACCTATTTGGGAAAGTTGTTGCTAAGTTATTTTAGCTAAAGGTTTTTAAACATAACATGCACCGTAGGTAATATAAAAATCCTCTCAATCATTAAAAAAAAGAGTTTTGAAGCAATCTTATAAACTCCAACACAAAGGCCACAACTAGGTTTTGTACTAGATTTAAGAGACCACTGCAAGTAAATTAAGCAGAAATAAAACAAGGACATATAAAGCAAGTCTCACTAAGGGAAACTATATCCTAGAATCTCTAAAAGATAGTAACCTGATGGGGTAACGCAAAAAACTGATGTGAAAAAGGAACTCCATACAGCTTCAAATCAAACCAAATTACTTTCCAATTATTCACTTATAGTCATGTTCCAATACTAGCAACAGCATTGCTAAAACCATTTAGCAGAACTTCTATAATAAAATCATAATTGCCAATGCCAATAAATAGACTTTCCTAATCATAGTTGCATAAACAATTTTATAGGAAAATTCATTGTGTTGAATCTTACTATTCGCATAGCATCATACGAATATATATATTTATATATATAAATATAAAACTGGACAGGATGCAGAAACAATTTTATTGGAAATTTCATTATGTTGAATGTTACTATTTGCAGAGCATCCTATGAAAGAGACCATCCAGCATGTGAAGAACTGCCTGCAGCTGCAGATTGATGACAACAATTGCAACTGTAACAAGAATGAGGAAAATTTTAACACAATAGGGCCAAGGAAATCTCACCATTTGATTCTTCTGATTCAATAATAGAGGATGAACATCTCATCTCCAGTTCGTTTTTCTCAACTATCCCAACCAAGTGTAAACCATCAGGTAAAATTTCAGGTACAGAGTTACTTGCACTTCTGATTTCATTAGAACCTTCTTCTATGGAGTCACAATCATCTTCTTCAACCCAAACCGGGGTTAATGTTGCAGGTATCTGGTGATAAGACACTTCATGATTTGCATTAGCATTCCCACAAAATGATGACATCCTGCCGAACTCATTCTCCACACAACCAGCTTCAGAAGATGCCTCAGCTGGGAGTAATTGCTCAACAGTTGTCTTATTAAGTGTACTCCTGTTATTATGCTCCCCAGAAAGCATGTCAGAGGATGCTCTTTCCACAAAACTCCCAGAGCATGATTCAAATATGTTATCAACCATGTGAAGCTGGCAGGACGAAGGCACATGGGCAGCATTTTCATTAACATCAGCAATTACTTCTGAATCTTCAGTCAACTGCTCTCTATCACCCTGTATGGCATCCTCCTCTAAACCTACATTAGGCTCTTTTAATGTCTCAGCATATATCTCTTCTGGCAAGTCAGAGGCTGCCACTGCTTTCATGGGCTCGAAAGAAGATGGAACAAGCAAATCCTGCATCACATCTTGCATCATACCGGAGTAGAACTTTTTGACACTAGCACCTACAGTCTGCACCTGATTCTCAACATATTTAACTGTGTCCTGTTCATAAAGATAATAAGTTAATGGAATGTCGCTACCAACTTATATGAGGATATGCTGAATGACGATAATCAAAGTGCAACCAGTTCAGAGATAAAGTCACTGTGAATATGAAATCAAACACATCCACATGACACAACAATTAAGGCTCTCTTATAGATACAAGTCACCTCAAATAAGAAGCTGAAAACATAGTCATACATAATTTTGCAAGAAAACCATGCTGTAGACTGTTATATGCACGGAAACAACAAAATCAAGGGAGAAGGAGGACTGCCTTCTGACAGCTGGGTTCTCATGAACTGTGTCCACAGAACCTCCTTTGGACCTGAAAAAGGTTGGAGATGGTTCAAAAAAAGATTATAAAAAGGGCATACCTGGTACATAACTTCTTCCACCTCTAGGCACATGGCTTCAAATTTCTCATATACATTCCCCACCCAGGTTATACCTTTTAAATCCATACTGATCATCAATCAACCTCACTGAACCAGCTGTTGGATTTCCTCCGCTATCTTCTGTTTGCAATTACCTTAACTAAGTACTTATCTGCACGAAATTAGATTTAAGTTCAGTTAGTCTTAAAAGAAACACAACAAGGGTGCTAGGCAGTTCAATTGAGACACATATATCCAAGCCCAAGAAAATATGCCAAAGAACATAAATCAAGCATAACTAGATTTGGTAATCATATTCACATGGTGCCAATTTTGACCCAAAAAAAAAAAGAAAAGAAAAGAAAAAGAGTTATTTGAAAAAGGGGTCCCTTGAACTAGGAAGAAAGCAATGCTGGCCAGATGACCAATTTGAATGAACAAAGCCTTATAACACTTCATTGTTGAAACTCCTAAATATGATAAACACAGAGAGTAAACTGGGGAAGAAATGGAAGAAACAGCAAGAGCTAAAAAGTTTGTTTAACATATAAAATCATTTAAAAAGCAAGCAAAACAGCAAAAAACATGGAATCTTCATCAAAACCCATTTGTTCTTAAATTCTGATCTTCATTCTACCAAGCTTCCATTAGATGTATAAAGTCTTAACCATATGACACAAAAACAGCATGCAGAGGAAAAAGTAGAAGAATCTTGATGAACATAAAGCATCAAAATACCAGGAAACAGGTTTCTAAGAAGACATTAATTATATAGACGCAGCGAACGGCATGACACTTGCATTGCATAAACAATCCAATTATTATAAATTAAAAGACAAAACCATACTTTCAACAGTTAGCTAACATAAACAAATCGTCAAGAATCACAAATTGATTTTCTTATGACAACTGTTACCAGAGGCCTCGCTGTCAAAAAAACTACTCTGTGGAAGAATTTGATGATGAAAAGATCATCAGGGATGCTTGAGTGTATTTTCCTCTTTAGTAAGAATTAGGAATAAGAAAGGAAAACAGCCCTTAACTTCAAGAAGAAAATGAAGTTAGAGCTCCATCCTCTATAGAAAAGAGTCAAAACAAAAACAAAAAAACCCAAAACAAAAAATCTGCGTTTAGAATCAATTATCTGAAGCCAACAAATTAACATTAAAAGAAACACAAACCCCTTTAATTAACTACTCTGTGGAAGAATTTGATGATGAAAAGATCATCAGGGATGCTTGAGTGTAGTCTCCTCTTTAGTAAGAATTAGGAATAAGAAAGGAAAACAGCCCTTAACTTCAAGAAGAAAATGAAGTTAGAGCTCCATCCTCTATAGAAAAGAGTCAAAACAAAAACAAAAAAACCCAAAACGAAAAATCTGCGTTTAGATTCAATTATCTGAAGCCAACAAATTAACATTAAAAGAAACACAAACCCCTTTAATTAACTGCTTCAGCTAATATTACATATTTCCACCCCATACCAAAAATGAAACAAAAAAAAAAAACATGAATTCGAAATGATCATAAGCTAAGTTTGCAGATGACCATAAATACAAATTACACTTTCTAAAAAGCTAAAAAGACATTAAAACCACAGCAAAATGCCATAAGAAAAGATAATTACCAAGAAAAACAAGCAATCCAAAACAAAAAACAGAAACCCTTTTGTCAATTATTTGGATAATTAACATATACGAATAGTATAAGAGACACGAAGAGCTTTATCTGAAGCAAAGTTGAGAAAAAGAAGCAATTTCCTTTTCTTTTTCCTTTTCCTCATTTTCCCTCCTCGAAAACTGATTGAAGCTGGAGAACTTACGTGTTGTGAAAGATGAAGCAAAACCAGAATCTAAAACTTGGTTGAGGAATTTCTTGGATTATGTGTTCATCGATTTCAAACTTCACCCCCACGACACTTCAATATGTTTGTTATAGGCTTTGAGTGAAAAGAAAAAAAACCTGTATGGCAGGCAGAGTTGTAGCAGTTTGATCACTTTATAGGCGTTATTGGTAGACACGTGTTCTCAGAAAGCATTAGAACTAAGGTTTACTATTAGCCCAGAAGTGGGGCCCATCTCTTACATGCTTGTTGATTGAGGAGAGGGGGAAAGTAAGGCAGTTTTTTTTTTCCTTTTTCTGTTTCCTATTTTTATGTTTTTTTGATTAATTGATATATTTGGACCAAAGTACAGTAAGTAATGCTTGGTCTTTATTGGCTCTGCTTTGGGCCACAAGTTTAACATGCTTCCATAAAGCCCAATCCATTAATCCCAAAGTCTCTTAATTCTTTTTCTTTTCCATCCAAAACTAAAAATTATAAAATAATCAAGCATAGAAAAAAATTAGGTTCAGTTGTATAATTATTAGAAATTCTTAATATAATAATTAATTAAAATATTATTTATTATTTAATATTTATATAATGTTAATTTAACACTAACATAAAAGATAATATATATTATGTGATCATATCAATATACCAAATCACTACCTCATGATATTTTCATAGTTATGAGGATTAATATAACTTGAAAGAATAAAAGACAAATATTAAGAAAGTAAGAAAATCATCTGTATTTACAAATGATATGATTAATATATATAATTTATAAAAAAAAAGATAATGTTAAAATATTTAATTTAAATGAATAATATTTAAATTAAATTTTAATCTTAATCTAATATAATATATGTTTAAATTTATATATATATAATCAAATTTAACAATTTAAATCAAATTACACTTTGATGTCTAATCATTTTATCTAAGTTACTTGACTTGATTTGAACTCTTGGATCTCAAACATAATGAAAATGTGAAAATTTTACAAACATTTTCAAACGAACAAACAAGTAAACCGATGTTAATTTTGATTTTTTTTCCATAAAAGAAATCCTTTTATTTATGAAATAAAAATTCACGAATAAAAGTAGGAGAAACCTTAATTTTGGGTTTCAAAGCAAGAAATTTTGGATGCCAATGTTGGCCACATCTCTTCAATTATTATGGTTGATTGGACAAAGGATAAAGAAACAGCTAGTGATTAAATCCAGTACCAATGCGATTGAAGTATATGTATGTAATGCACTGAAAACTTGAAAGCATCAAACCGCGTTTCTCTGGGCATGTAAATTCATTTACCTACCAGTACCAATAGCCTTTTCCTCATAATTTCTTTCCCACTACTTTTTTTTTTCTTTTTCTTTTTCTTGATGCAATTATTGAAAGATTCGTTTTGGGATTCTACTAGTCACCGCATGAATATAATTTTGAGAGAGAAGAAAAGATATTGGATCATAAGGTGAAATTAAATGTAGAGTATATTTCAGAGTTTTTAATATCAATAAATAAATGCCAACAGCAACAACACAATGCTTGTTTTGTGTCCATGGCTAATGGCTTAATGGCAGTGATATTGATCAAAAAAAAATATTCTTTGAATCCCGAAGAAGTAATGATTATTATTCAACCTCAAAGCCTGTCAAAGTCATGCTCACGGCAGCCTCCTTTACAGTGAATTTTATTGGTTCTTCATGATGTAATTGATTAGGGACTGCCTTCATTAGGCCAAAGGAGACTGCTTGCCGGAGAAAACTCAAATCATTATTACCATCTCCGTCCAATTAAATGCATAGTTATCATAAAACAGCCTAGGAGTCAGATGCATTAAGAATTGATCAATTTTCCGATTAGACCTGACTTAAAATCGAAATGGGGCCACTTTTATCCCTGTAATTTTACTATTTGATACTCCAAAAAACCCTCAATGGAAGTTGGGAATCATCACTAAAAGTTGCTTTGATGGGCGTGATTCACAGGAACGCGGATTTTCTACTCTCAAGACAACTACCTTTTCCTTTTAAACGCATGCAGGCTATTGAGGAATATAGAAAACTCCAGAAGCAGCATCTCTCCCCGTCCAACAAACTGTGACTGTTAGTGCTTCGTAAAATGAAAAAAGTCAATGTATAATCTTCTTTTTTTGAGTATGCTCCATATGTTTGGTCTATTTACCAGACGAATGGCAAATTTAACAGAGGACCTAATTTCGATCATGGCAGTATCCAAACCCATGAAACACAAGCAAGCAATTTGTATGTTCAGGTACAAATGTAACAGTCCCATACAGCCTCTACCCCGCAGCTTGAAAATCCCCAAAATCGTCATCCACTATGTCTTCTGTGCTCTCATCTTTTGCTGAGTCTGGGGCCTTATCGTTAGAAGTGCCCTCTAGGCTGAGATTTCGTGGTGAGCTTGTTGGAGATTTCTGACTGCTAGCTACAGGTGAAAGTGGTGCTAGTGGAGGTGGTGGTGGTTTGATGCTAATTTTGGGCCCTGTCCGGCTGCCCTTGTCCTCCAAAGAGAGATTGTCCACACCCTCCTCCAAAATCTTTGACTTCACACTGGAACCGCCTCTCTGAGCAATGAGCATCGTAAAGGGAGGAAAACTAGTTAAGATACTTGTATATAAAATGATTAATTATTAAAACTTGTTAACAATAAATAGACAGGCATACATTCTTTATTTGGAGTACAAGGGTCTCCCCATCCTTTAGACTGTAGTCAACTGAGGAAGTTTTCTGGAATTGCTGCTCCATCTCTTCCGCGGTTTTCTTTTTGTTCAAATATCTTCAATAACAATTTAAGAAAGTGCACAGTTTAATAAAACTACGGAACTCATTCAAAAGTAGAAGATTATTCTTTGCACAATCTGCAGTACGAGCCACTATGAAATCCGATAACATAAAGCATATGATATGAGAGAAACTGCATAAAGGTATATGAGAAAGTACTTCATATGGTCATGCAAGGCTGCTTGGAAATCATAAGCCTCTGTTCTTTCTCGAAATCCAATGCCAATGAAAGCATGACGAAGGCGACCACCTGCATGACTTCTGAATTAATAAACACAATATCTTAAAAATTAAATACCAATAGAAAAAAGTGAAGTGAAAAACATCAATCATCATCATCATCCCAACACAGTTAAATGTTTTGAAATGGGAACCGCAGAAAAAAGTTTTAGCATTTTACTCAAAGCAGATGCGGAAATAATTTTGTGCACAGAAAAAACCACAAACAGTGATTTATAATATTAGAATGGATCAAAAATTAAGAAGGTTGCTGGGTATTTAAGCATTTTGAGTCAATTATACTCCACATAAGTTGAGCAAAAATATGCAAATGAACACAATTAGACTATAAAGAGAACAAGAACCAATTCAAATAACCATAGCTCAATGACAACATCTAGAACAGTCAGAACCACATATTAGACATTTATTCTTTCTTTAGGATGCCAGACCCCAAAGATGAATTCTTTCTTTTTCTGGCTTTGGCTGTCAAAATCACATACACATGGACATAAAATCAGGGAATGTTGGATGTTTCTAGATGCTTGATGCAGAAGATAAATTGACAGCATATGGGAAGATCCAAATATGAAACAAGAGTTAAAAGCATAAGCAGGGCACCTTTTCCCTTGGCTTACTCATAATGTTTCTTAGTAATGCAATCTGAAATTAATAGGCACTGGAGCATATCATGATGCATTAGCTACTGACATATATTTCACTAATAAAAATCTCATTTAAAGAGTTTAATTATTAATCACGAGGACAAGATACTTTCAAAAGTTGGTAAACCAATTTGACGGATTCTCATGACAGAAGAGTCTGGGTTGCTTTTATATGGAACAGAAAAATGAAAAAGAAAGAGAGAGGCAGAACATAATCAAGGAAGTAGGCAGATGTGTGGTAGCCTGGCTCCTGCTTGATCAAACTACATGACAGTTCTTCTGAAGTTTGTTCACTATCTATCAATAAAACTTCCTGTGAAATACTTCTCTGCTTTTTCTTTTGCTAAGTTGAAGAAATGGGGAAAAGAAAAGAAGGGTAAAAAAGAGAAGTGGCAAGAATTTCATATGGTAATGCCATACACATTGTTAGAGAACATCAAAATAAAAAAAGATTCATAGGAAAAGATAAAATGAGATACTAATCAAAAGTAAATTTGAAAGAACAGAAGCAAAATCACTTTGAAAGAATCGAAGCAAAATTACTTACCAATATTCTCTTCAATTCGAAGAACAAAATATCTGCAGAACAGATACCCTTGAGATAATGCATTGCATCATAAACAAAAGCAATATGAAAGCACTGCACATGCATCAACATGTAATGTAATGCTTATTTGTACATACCTACTGCTATCAATTACAGGTTCCACTGGATGCGGCTCTCCATTTCTCAGAAATGCTCGAGCATATAATTCACCTATGAAGATGTAGTAAATTGAAGCAGAAACCAATTATCTAATAATAAGATAAATACAACATAAATGTTGCCCTACAAATTACAAAACTAAGTTTACCGGAAGACTTGTCTTCAAGCCTGATAATGCACTCTTCTCCCTTGCTAATGATTTTCAAAATTCCCTCCCATGCCCATTTGTTGACATTCCATTCATCAGCCCTGAAATAAACTTCAGATGAATAAACATGCATCTCCACACCAGAAAGAAATAGAAAAAGCCCACATGTTAATCAATGCCAATTGATCTAACAAGAAGATTGCCAACAGTAAATTCAGCACATAACCTAATTGTTGTAGGTATTCGCATCCAATATAGTGCTTTCCCTGATAAGATTTTTTACCCTACCCCCTGTCAGCAGGTTAAGGAGATTTCCTTAGCTAATAAAACACAATTGTTTTCATGGATCAACAAGATTTATTTGAAAATTTTCAGGGAAAAAATTAAACATAAAAGATTTCTCTCTCTGTTAATTACATAATGAATTTCAATTTCAGAAATTGTCTGAGTAGAAGCAAGCCAGCACCAAGACAGAAAACAAACAAAATGAAAAAAAAAAAAAACAAAGGGTTCAACTAACATGATGACAATACTTCTCCAAAAACAAATAATAATAATAATAACATGATAACAAACAAAACAGTTTTCAATATCGAGTTCTCAATAGTGTTCCCATTATTATCACCAAACTTTCTCATATTGTATTGAAATTGCAAGGTAAACTAATGGAAGAGAATAATAACAGCAATACAAAGAGAAAAAGAATGATAGGTAAGGTTTTTAGCTTCCTTGCTGCAAACAGCACATGGTAAACACAGCATAATGCAAAAGATATCATTCACATTCATGCTTCTTGCATATTTGGTATCATATCTTGACAAGCTGGCCAACTACCTGTAGGAGGCTGCACTTTTCCTTGGAGGTATCTGCAGAAATAATGCGTTGAATTAGTTTGACATTATAGCGAGCATATAGGGAATGAGAATAAAAGTGAGAAAATGTCATAAGGTTGAAATTTCACAAATATAGGACATTAGGTGATTAGGGTTTATGGCAGTATTCTGATCTTGATTCTTGAGAAAACAGAGAAAATTAAATACAGACAAAAAGAAAAGAAGCAATCCCTGGGCTTCAAACCTAGGATTAACAACCTTGACTTAAAACAACACCAAAACTAAATAAAACTGAATGCCAATAGCATGAATAAAACACAAACTAAGACTTGAGCCTCAAAATCTGCAATTTCAAGCAATCCAAAAAATTGCAAAAGCACACCTGACCCCTGAAACTGAAGAAAACAGAGAACAGAATAAGAACCTGAAACTTCAACTCAACTCAAAGGCAACTAATAAGCCCTACTCAAGCTCCCAACTAAGCTTCTCACCACTGGAATTGTACCAAGTTAAGGCTTGGGCATGAGAACCCCCCTTGCACACCTTGTAAACACCTTTGGAGGCTGCTGCCAGTATACTCTATCAGCACTTCTATTTGTCTCATAAAGTCAGCCGAAGCAAAATATTCAAAAATTGCATCATTTTTAGTGCATATGGCTTAGTAAGAACCAGTTTCGTTGGTTTTTGACCAACTAAAACATGAAAAATTGTCATAGTGTTGGCACAAAATGCAAATATAGATTCAAAATGGGGTAAAAATATTGAATGACCAATAAAAAGCATTTTTATCAGACAACTTATATTGATGTGAGAGCATCTCCTGGAAAGTTCAAACATCCAGCTATATATTTTGAATGTAAAATCTTGAATTTAACAGGTTTATTCATTACACATCTTGGAGTAGCAGCAATTTTAGATACAGTGTCCAGATTAATTGTGAACTCTGTACTAATCTAAAAGGTCAAAAATACAAGCTGTATACAATTGCAAAGCTTGTTAAGTCTAGTTCTTGATGATTCAAACTGTGCAGGAATTGGAGCTGCTACACCAAACAATGATTCCGAATCTAAAATATCCAACAAAACTACACTCCTCATAAAATTGCGAAACTAAAGAATCTACATTAAAGTTGAGCACAAAAAATTCAACCGCCCTAGAAACCCACCTAAGTTTTAAACATATTGGAAGGAACACGACATCTATTTTGAGTTCCATTGAAATCATTCTTAACGTTAATTAATTATATATATACCCAATTTTTGAATCTCAATCTCGATCCAGTACTAAACCAAATAAAAATCAGATAAAATCATGTGAATTTAGTCTGATCCCAAAATCCCAACAGGGACAACAGATTGAGATTCGTGTCTGAGTGCGTGTGTATAAGGAGTCGAGAGTAAAAAGAGGAAGAGAAAGGGCACTGACCAAGTAAACATAACATTCAGATACTTGAAAGAGGACAAGTTCTAACGCTTCCGCAGTCTCCTCGCTCTCATCAACGTTGCCTTCCTCCTTTGCTGCCTTGCCCTTGGGCTGGTTTTCCTTCTCCATCATCTACGCTCTCAATCTCAAACTCGGCTTGAGTACAAGGGAAGCAAACCAAAAACTTCACTCAGCTTGGGACTAGATAGGTAAGTTTCCAAATTTCTTATGAAAATACTATGTTGTCTCCCAATTTTGCTTTCTATAGTCACTAACACAACACAAACAGACTTCTTCCTTCTTTCTGTCTCTTGCTATTATTTTCTTTTTATTAATTCAATTTTTTTCCTTTCGACTCTCTCTCTCTCTCTCCCTCTTTTCATAAATATTTGTAAAGGAATTCAAGCTTTACAACTGATCAGATGTCTCCGTTGCCGGGCAGACCTAACCGGGTCTCACTCAAAGCCGAACCCACCAAACCCGAATTTGGTCCAAGCCGTTCCTTTTTTGTTCCGTTCATTTAATTATATTATTATTAAAAATATTAAATTATATTTTATGTTAATATTTTTAAATATATTTTAATTAAAATTAAATAAAAATATTTTTATTAATAAAAGAGTAATTTAATTAATCCAGCTGAACTCTGAACACATTCATGAGTTTAAACGAATAACTTGACTTTTGAACACGTTTCCTACTCATACAGAAGTGTACTAATAAATAACATGAACAAACATTTATTTTTAGTGAAGTCATACACTTTAACCTTTATTCTACAACTAGCTTTTGTTGTCCCAGTGTGGAAGTGTTTATTATCAAGTTAAATTCAATTGACATTTTGAAGATATAGATTCAATTATATTTAACATTAAATTTTTTTAAAAAAATATTTTTATTTAATATTTGAAACATATTTTAAAATTAAAATAAAAATAAAATAAAAATATAATAATATTCTTGAGCTAAGTCAAGCTTGAAGGTCATGTCTTCTAATTATTAATTATTGATTCTTTTTTAGAAACTCTATTAATTATGGATTTGAATAATTATTTTTAATTATATTTCAAAAAAATATTATTATTACTATTATTTTTTACCCTGAACAGTAAGCTTTCTCACTTTGATCACTGAACACCAGTGGAATTGAATAACTTAAATGATGAAGCTCCATCTTTCCTTTGCTTTCTGCCTCTGCCTGTGCCTCGTCTTCATCTAATGACTTTCACTTTCTCACAAGTCAAACGGTTGGATCCCCTTATTGTTACAATGCATGAGCCATGAAGATAACAAATTGTTCCTAGCCCAGAAACGCGTTTCACTTTCCTATTTTGATTGTAACCCATATTCATTTCCAAGTTTCCCAGAACAGCTACAGTAGATGTCTTCTTTATCAAAGACCTCCTGGCCTCTACATTTTCAGTTTGCTTTAATTTATCACTGACTCTCTCTCTTCTATGGCACCTTTTATTCTTTCCCTATTTTGCAAAGACAATGAGATTGATGCAGGGTGGTAATGGAGTCAACACAGGTTGGAGTAAATCTAAAAGTACTATTTAAATGTCTCTGTCTCACGAGATTTAAACAAGTTACACAGTTACAATAATAAATTCCTTATGCTCCAACTTGTTGGTTTTTCTCCTGTTTTGGGTTACAACAACAACACTACTGAACAGCAGGAATTAATAAATTTAAAAAAATTTTGAAGCCATTGAACTCTGAGTTGCTTGTACATAAAAGTATGGGATCATGTGTACCTCACCACATCCTCAGTGCAGAAGCTCCCAATGAGACCTCTAAATATCATCTGAAGCCACTAGTAAGAAGTCAAAGGCTTGCAATTTGAACTCGGAAATGGTTTTGCTAGGCTCAACAATGCAGATGAATTTGAAAACAAACTCTCATAGGTAGTTTCCATCTTATGAAAATACTCATACTCGTTGATGAGGCACTGTTGCAGTCATGGTCATGTGCCGCGGATCTGTAAGCACTGTTTGAATATTGACAAAGCCAACTTCTCTCAACCTTCCTTCCAGATCAGTGAGGTAGTATTCATTCAAAAATGGTTCTGTACTTTTCAGCAATGTGAAAAGAGCTGGGGACAATTCCTGAAAGAAACAAAATCCAAATTAACATGGCAGTGTTCATTGATTTTCTTGTTCAAAGCAATACAACCATCCTCGCAAGTTTCTATCTTGGAATGAGATTTACTTACATACAAATTCTTTTACGGTGATTCTAGTCATCTTTCCAGCCAAAATAAACCTTTGGCAAAATTTTGCTGTATCTAAAGTTTGAAATGCTACGAGTAACCTTTCACTTGAAAGTATATGTGCACACTAAGTTCCAAGGCTTTATAATAAGATTATTTCATAATGTACAGTTCTTGCAGAGTTGCAGTGGTTTACATCTCAAGTTGCAACCAACACTGAATTTATTGGTAAATGATAGATTTGAGAAATTCTTCATAAAATTATATTAGTTCATGCTAAGATGATAACTTAAGACTTATGATTTTCCCTTTATTCTTGGAATGGCACCAACTTCTTTATCAGAATTTCTAATTCCTCAACTAAGCATACAGACAAAATTATCTGCTTTCAAACTTTTAGCATCCTCAATGTTTCTGTCAAAACAAAAATTGTATAAATTAAACCACATCCCTAACGCCTATAATATATTGACAACTGAGAATACCAGCTAAGCGGTAGATTAGCAGGGCAAATTAAGGATTAGGAAATGCACCTGAAGGATCTTTGACTTTGGCTGCACAAGGAAGAAAGTTAAAATTAAAATAAGAAGGGTTGTTGCAGCCGAAAGAAGGACCATTTGTAAACAAAGTGTAGTTATGGTAATTTACCGACTGGTCAGTCAAAACAATTGTGCCTCCAGGTCTCAGCAATCGGAATGCTTCAGTCACTAAAGCGATTATTGCTCTTTCAGGACATTCATGAAACTGCACACATTTAGATATAGTCTCATTCTCACTAACCAAAAATTCTTAATTTCATTAATTGACAAAAATCTTTAGAAAATACAAGAGAAACAGAGAGCCCTAGGTAGCTATAGCCTATAGTACTATTTTTGGCATGATGAATGATGAGCTTAAAATTCTATAATAATAGGTTACAGACTCCTACTAACTATAAATTACTATAAGATTAATTAATATAAACTATAAGTTTGATTGAAATAAGGATATCAATCATCAGTAAAATTATAATTCTTTTCTCCTCAATTTGTGTTTTCAGCTTGATATTTCTATACAAATGCAAAGATTTCATGACAAGGACTTTATTTTCAATAATTATCATTACAAAATATTTACTAAGAAAAAGGAGTTGTTCATAAAGTACAGTTAATAATTGCCTTTTGAGTTAGAGAGAAGGAAGCAACTAGAGAACCAGGGAAATGCAGTAGAGATACAAGCTTCCCAGAATACGAACCACAGAGGAAAGTACCCTTGGATGATTTAATGTTCTTAGCTAAGAGGGCATGATCAAACCCCATTTGTACAATCTAGGAATCATATTGAATTCCACAATTATAAAAGAACAGGATTCTTGTTTAAAACAAGCGTTCGAAATAGTTTGCAATCATGAGGGAAGTAAAATATAGAATTTTCTCTGCCCTTGAAGAAAGTATGCACCTTCAGCTTCCAGCTTTCATAAATAAAGGTTTGACAGAATTTTCTAACTCTGATAAAATAAGAGAAACTTACTAGAACTATTTACCATTGTTTGCTGAATGGTGAAAGGAATTTTTATTTTCAACCAACACCTCACAGCTATAGTGCTGTATTATTTAAAACCTTACAAATAAAGAGGATACAATGTACACTTGGAGCATCTTAAGATTGGTTTGGTAAGACACACTGTTTCAGTTAGTTCATTTCCTCCCTCAACATGTCTGTTAACTCTCTCTCTCTCTCTCTCTCTCATATACACACATGCACAACATCAAAAGTATCGAAAATCATTTTTTGACCACATAATTGGAACCATACAGCTAGAAACTCTTTTGATTTTTTAATTTTCAAATTCTCTTAATCCTTCATATCATGATTTTGTCCTCAACTAAATGAGCTAAATTGGAAGGACACATTTGGTTTGCAACTTCAAGATCACGAAAAGATAAGTTTATCTTGACAGAAAACCAGATTAATGCCTAATATTATAGTTCTAACTTCAGAAGGAAAAAAAAAGGGTAATTGTTATGAGGATTTGCAAAATTGATTTATGATTCAATGAATTTGGAGAACTGGCCAACCTACGCTATCGAATTCCAAATATACATTTGAATTATGGGGGGAAAAACTTGGAAAATTAAAGCTCTGTTTCTCCATATTATGTAGTAGACTTATAGGACATATAGTCATTCCCAGAAAAATTTAAGAAGGTTAAAACAAACTACATGAAAAGGTTAAGAGAAGACATACCACATAAGCAAAAGAAACAAGATCAAATGATTTTGAGGGCAAGCCTGTGTCTTCTCCAGCTGCATGTATCCATCTGATGGGATTCTCTCGAGGGGCTCTTTTCTTTTCCTTGAATTGAGCTACAGAAAGAAAGTAAGGTGACAGATCTAGTCCCTGTAGCATTGCATCAAGATACTCATGGACATGAGGTTCCATCCATGTATTAAAGACCAAATGTACTATGAACAGTAATCATTAAAGTTTTACGAGCATGTCAATACAAATGTGAGCCATATCATAAGGCTGCTTAAATTGCTATTTTTCCGTCTTATAGTTACAAGTCTTTATCTTGTAAAACATGTCTTATGGTAAGTTTCCATAAATAAATATATGCACTTACAATGACTTTAGCGGAAGGGAATTTATCAGCAAGAAATCTTGTGCTCACACCGACAGAACATCCAATATCTAGAATATTTTCAATTGTGGATCCTGAATGTTTCATATGATGTTGTTCAATTACTTGAAGCCAATTTCCACGCAATTCTTTAGTTGCTTCCTCAATTGATGAAGCATGTGGCATAGCTCTTCTCGCAACAGACATGGTTGCAACCTCTGCTTCAGCTGCAGCCTGCCATCACACTAGCAATCTTGCAAGTTAAAATCCTTTCATCTTCTTTTTTTTCCTTTACACTGTAAGAAATGCTTTCCTTCTTAACGATTTTCTTATAGAGGTAAGAGAATTCTTCAAAAAAAATTCCTTTTGAAAAAGATTCTTCCATTTGTGAAAATCACAAAATTAACAGTACCAGTTAAAGTAGAAGCATGACACATAGTCAATATTAGAGCAGAAATCTTCATGCCAAGAAATTTAAACCATTGAGAATTGAAGAGAGCTAAGAGCATTTAAACATCAGCAACTTTAGGTAGTCACTGGTCAAGAATCAAACAAACGGGCACATATTAGAGATACAATATGGTCTTAATATTAGTTAGACAAATAACCGGAAATGTAGTGCTAATTTGTCTCGGTATATTGGGCTAGAAGACAAGTGGCCCTCGATATCTTTCAAGCAAAACAAACAAGTAGCTCTCATCCCCTACCTTGTCCCCTTGTATTCCCTGTGCTAAAAGAAAGAAAGAAATCATCTTCACTCTTCAGCCGCTACAGTGACAGGGGAGTGAAGAGTTTCAAGAAAACTTAAGATGAACGCTGAATACTTACCAACCAAGAAAGATTGCCCTCGTCATATGCATGAAAAGGACTCAGATAATCTGTTCCAAAAACACAATAGCTTTGGCGATTATTAATTTGTTTGAATGATTAAAAGAACAAATAACACACAACATTTAGCAGAATGCAAACCACCTAGAACAGAACTTACATATAATCATCTAATCAAGCAGCCTCTACATAGTTTGAGATTCAGAGTTTGAAAGTTAAGGTCCAATTTTCAAGGTTACTGAATCTTCATTCATATATGCATAGTTGATACTTGATAGTTAGGTTTGTACGAAGCATTTTTATGAAAATTCCAGTCTTAAAAGATGTTTACATGGTACTTGGATTGTTTGTGTTCTGCTTTCTCTTAAATCATTCAAGGAAAAAAAGGAGAGAATTACATACAATCTGGGTATTGGAGAGAGGGGTTCTCAATGCTGTGCAGCTCCTTATAAACATCTGATTCCAGAATCTCCCTCGACATCTCCCTCCAAGGAATGTTGTTCTTCTCCGCTGTACTGTTGGATAGATATTATAACATACGCTTTAAAGTCAAGGAGTAAAAAAGAATTTTGGGTAGTCTTCGCATAATGCATTTGAATCACTAACAATACATTGAAGTTCAAAAGCTGCTCCCTTAATGCAATATTGTGACAGAGAGAAATAACCTGATGAGGACTTGTCGGGCACCAAGCTTGAGCAGAGAGTAAAGGGGCTTAAAGGAAACAAGAACTTTTACAAGGCGAGAGAGAGGGGTCTCTCCAGCCCATTTTGGCATTTCTAGATTTCCCTCCTCGTATGCTATTGCTACTTGGTCTGGGGCTGCCATCCGAACATGAACCGCTAGATCTCTTCTGCCATTTGCGCTTGCCCTTCCTCCATGTCTTGCTCTTGCTCTTCCACTTGCTGCTGAAGATGCAAGAAAAAGCTTCTGAGAAGATGCACACAGCGCCATTAATGCAGATTAATCTCAGTTGCAGTTGCAGAGGGAAGAAAACCAAGGCTTTCCGGTACAAGCAATCCCAGGATTTCCCGACCGATAACAGCAGCACTTGCTTAGTCATTTTTTATTGCCACGTCATTAACCCCGAATCTTCGTCAGCCTATTCTGTACTACCACGTGGACAAAACAACAAACTTTATCTGCTTCTTTGATTTTCTTTTTTTTTTTTGCAATATTTATTCCGTCTACTGTGTAACTAAAAAAAATACTCAGATATATATTTAATTATTATATGTAAGAAAATAAAAATAAAATAATTAAATTAATATATCTATATTTGTTGGATAAGCAAAGAGTATTACTACTAATCCTTTTACAGATTAAATTAATACATTTAAGTTTTTTTGTACTATTAGTAGGGCAAGGCACTTATGGTGTGGATGTTACACTAATTTCTTTCTTATACTATATATATCATATATGAATATATTTATATAACGTTTATATATTGAGTCAATGTAAACCTGCCGGTCCAACTTTCACTTTAACCTTTTTAATTGTACCGCAACCAAGCTCTGAATATACTCATTTATTAACAAAACTAAATTGGTGACAGGATTGACAGTCAATTTTAAATTTTTCATTATTATATATATAAAATTTGATATATATAAAATATAATAAAATTATTATTTAATTATTTGTCTAAAATCTTAAATTCTATATATATATATATATATATATATATCCAAATGATAGCCTCCCTTGCTTATCAGTCATCCTGCTCTTTTCTAATGTCTAGTTTCTTTACCTTAAATTAGGGTAAGTAAAATCAAACTAAATTAATTAATTATTTAAATTAAATACAAATTGAATAAAATAACTTAGTTTAATTAATTTATTAGTTTAATTGGTATAAAATATTTGGTTCAATTAGTTTTTTGGTTGGTTTTCGAATTTAAAGTTTTTAAACCAATTCACCCAAAAAATTAAGCTAATTTTTATATATACTTTATATATTATATTTGTTTATATATTAAGAAGAATTGATAGTAAAATTAATTAATAATATACTTAAAATATATCAATTTATTATATATATGTATACAAATCATAATCATAGTAATTTAATTTTAATTATATATATTTTTTATTTATAAATCTATTTTAATATAAAATAAAATATATTTTAAATAATATAACTTATACGTTAATATTGTAATATATGATAGTAAAAATCTTACATATTAATATGTTTTGATTATTACATCTTAATAATATTTTGTAATATAAAATTTTATGAATATATATAAGTGTATAAACATTATATATATATATATTTAATTTATACATAAGTATTACTATAACTTATAGTAAATTTATTTATATAATTATATTTAATAATCTTATTAATTATTACTTTAGGTATTATAATATATTATTTATAATTAATTATTATTTATACAAACTTTGAGATAAATCATTATAACATATAAGTTGTCTAACTAATTTCATATATACATAATAAAATAATATTATATATATTTAATTTATACATAAGTGTTACTGTAATTTATAATAGATTTTATTTATATGATTACACTTAATAATTTATTAGTTATCACGTTAATTTTTTTAACATATTATTTATAATTAATTATTATTTATACTTTAAAATATTATAACATATAAGTTGTGCCATTGATTTCATATATATAATAAAGTAATATATTATATATACATATATTTAATTTATACTTAATTTGTATATTTATAATTATAGGTAAAATTTATAAATTTTAATAATATAATTTAAAAATAAAAGTGATAAAATTTTGATCGGTTGATTTAAAATCAAACCGATCAAATCAATTTTATGTTTGATCGGTTTGATTTTTTTTATAGTTGATCAATTTTTTTAAAAAAATAAATTTATTTAATGATTAGATATGATAAATTAACCCATCAAATTCATCCATTTGTTCCCTCTACTTTAAATGGATACCCTTATTTGGCAAGAAAAAGCACTCCTCCTATCTTATCTGCATCTCCTTGGAATTACCAAATTCCCATTTAAGGCTCCCAAGGGATTGTAACCGTAGATTACTGAGTCACATGGCCAAGCAGCATGGCTGACGCAACAAAGACCAAACACTAACCGCACACTGGGTCAACACAAACTTTAGCTGCCAAAAAATATATATATGCTTTCACTTTCATACAAAATTTTGAAACTTTCAAGCCTCATGTACTTGGTAATGACTCCTAATACACCACCAGCAGCAGCTGCCCTTCCAGAGTGTTGTCGATAGAAAATTATATAAGAGTTGAAGACTGGTTAAGCGGCCAAGTGTCAAGCATCAACATGCATGCAAAGAAATAATATCAGCTTTGCGGCTACTGTGTTGGAAGCAAGGGTGGTTGGGTGTGTTAGCTCATCTTCTCTTTTGTGTATCTCCCTATTCTCCATATCTTTGGTCCTTCTTTTGAGTGCCTTCTAATGGAGCTACCCACAAAGGCACCGGATTCTAGAGACAAGAAAACCCAGTATACAATAAAGACCAAGAAGCTTTCCTACTGGTTATCTAGGCGGGTTGATGACTTCAGTTGGTTTTTCAGGAAGGATGGCACTGCTAATAAAAGAATTTTGAAAAATGTGGACTGTGAAGCTAGACCTGGGGAAATCATGGCAATTGCTGGTCCGAGCGGGGCTGGCAAGACAACTTTGTTGGAAGTACTAGCAGGAATGATCCCACTGAGTAGGCTTTCTGGTAATGTTCTTGTAAATAACCAGCCGATGGATCCTAGACACTTCCGGAGGTTATCAGGTTATGTTACCCAAGATGAGATTCTCTTCCCGCTCCTAACTGTCGAAGAAACACTCATGTACAGCGCACGTCTGAGGTTGCATAATGGGCAAATGGCTGCAGCCAGAGTAAGAGACCTACTAGAGGAGCTTGGATTAGAGCACGTTGCCAAAGTTAGAGTTGGTGGGGAATCAAACCGTCGCATTTCAGGTGGAGAGAAACGTAGAGTCTCAATTGGGGTTGATCTAGTTCATGACCCGGCTGTTCTTTTGATTGATGAACCAACATCAGGACTGGACTCAGCATCAGCCCTTCATGTAGCATTGTTGCTGAAATCCATGGCTGTGAAACAAGGGAAGACAATTGTTTTAACCATCCATCAACCTGGTTCCCGAATTCTCGAGCTGTTTGACCAAGCTTTGCTATTATCAAATGGCACTGTTCTTCATCATGGATCCCTGCATCTCCTTGAGCAGCGTCTTGAATTATCAGGTCATTCCATTCCTCGGCACATTAACATTCTCGAGTTTGCCATCGAGGTGAAAGAAGCCCTGGTGCTAGACGCTGAAGAAAGCCAAGAAGAGGAGAATGCTGATCTAGAACAAGGTTGTGAAGATATTAGAAGAAATCCTCAGCTCAGTAATATCGGAGAAACTAATATTTGTTACGCCAACCCTCAATTCAAGGAGGTTTTAATATTGGGTCAGAGATTTTCCAATAACATTTACAGAACAAAACAGCTTTTCGCAGCAAGATCATTACAAGCAGTACTTGCCGGTGTTGTGCTTGGCACTATATTCATGAACGCAGCTAGTGATTCAATGAGATTTAAGCTACAAACACAGATTGGCTTTTTTGCCTTCAGCCTCACCTTCCTGCTCTCATCCACAACAGAAGGCCTACCAATATATTTGCAAGAGAGAAGAATTTTGATGAGAGAAACCTCAAGGGGAGCATATAGAATCTCTTCTTATGTCCTATCAAACACTCTAGTATTCCTTCCTTTCTTGTTAATTGTGGCTTTGCTGTACACCATCCCTGTATACTCGCTAGTAAGACTGAGGAGGGAAATCGATGCGTTTCTTTATTTTTCACTGGTGGTCTGGATGGTGGTTCTAATGTCAAATTCTTTTGTAGCATGTTTCAGTGCACTTGTTCCAGATTTCATCATGGGAACATCTCTGATCGCTGGCCTGATTGGATCCTTTTTCCTATTCTCTGGCTATTTCATATCAAAAGAGGACATACCAAGGTGTTGGATTTTCATGCACTACTTGAGTCTCTTCAAGTATCCCTTCGAGTGTTTTATGATCAATGAGTATGGAGGAGAGAAGGGCCAGAAGAGATGCTTGAAGATTGTGGAAGGAGAGTGCTACCTCTATGGCGAAGGGTTTCTGATGCAGCAAGGTCTTAAAGAGTCACAGAAATGGAGTAATATCGTTGTCATGTTGGGTTTCATTGTTGGGTACAGAATTCTGAGCATTTTTATTTTAAGTTACAGGTCCTGTAGAACAAAAAGTTAAAGGGCTTTCTGCTGTGAAGTAGACTTGAAATGAGTTGCTTGTTTCCTTCAGCTTCTTCCATATAACATTCACAGAACTCTTTAATGATAATTAACATAACTTTATTGAAACTCATGCTAGTTTCAAAACATCCCTAACAATTAATGTGACTTTCACTCCCTAAGAGAAAACATTATCATTCGAAATACTATTGTGATGCAATGGATCTTGTGCTCAGTGAGTAAGAACTTCAAATTACCAACAAGAATCAACAGCCACTGTTTCTATGCACCTGCTCCAATATCCAGCTAACCGAGATGCAGAATTACACAGGACTCCCACAATCCAAGCACTTCCAAGTTCCAATTTAACATGAATTTCACATCCCCAAAAGAAGAAAAAGAATAAGAAGAAATGATTTCATGTATTTCAGATAGTCAGCACCATCAGTCAGAATTTTTTTGCTAATAGAAATGGAGCTTAATGGCAGTGTGAAACAGGAATGGTGATTGTGGTACTATGACATACTGGTGTTAAACCTGAAGGGGAAAGGATCATAAAGATGAGGGATCAAGAACAAAATTCCCTGCGCTGAGAACTACTTTTACCATGCTGATGTCTACCGAGAAAAAGGAAAAAGGGTGACAATGCAGAAGAAATATCATACTAGGAGAACAATCCTAAGCATTATCTGCCAAGAGTTCCCCCTACTCTAATACATCTCATTTCAAAAACTGACTCTCTTTCAAGGTTGTTATTTTCCCAGGTGATAAATGCAGTTGGCAATAGTCCATAACAGTTTTTTTGAGCTCACTGTTTTTAAGATGATTTAAGGTCTTTATCAGTGTGCAACATTGAAGAACAAGCACTATTATCTCTTCCTAAATAGTTTAGCTTCCAAATAGTCAAAAATAACTGTCCCAAAGAGGTCCTAAGTTTCCCCATTCCAAATTAAGGAGCTTCAGAAACAGCTACGCTAGTACCCATTGCCAAAACTGTAATAGCAAGGAACTGAACTTTCTAGCTTTGCTTTTGGGTTTCATTAAGCCATGAATAGCCTTTTGGGTTTCATTAAGCCATGAATAGCCTTAGTATTGGAGTATCAGTATTGCTTAGACAAGAAGTTGACATAAAATAATACCACATTCTTGAATGCTAAATATGATAGCTTAAGAGCAGAGCGAAATTAACATAGACAATTGCTGGTACCTAACTGTAAGAGGCATTTTCAACATATTTAATAGCAAAGTGTTGTAGCAGTACAGCCAAGCAATGAAGCTAGTATGGTGTAAGCAATTTTCTTGTAGTACTTTCTTTGTTACCAATATGGTAAGAAAGATATGCATCTTAACAAAGAGACTTCATTCACAACATTTCAAAGCATTTACTTGCCAGCTTTATTGAATGGTTGTGCCCAACCTGCCAATGCAACAGGTTCAGAGCAAGCTAGATAATTCTAAATCAAGTGGCTCCTAAAGTGATGCAGTTGTGTGCATTTCATTTCAATATTATGGCCAAGGCCTGAATTAATCTACAATTAGTAACAAAAATACTACTCCTAGCACAAAATAGCAGCCACTCTGATGCTTATATTGTTTGTTCTCTTATAGAATTTGGGCCCCACGTACAAGTTCCAGTCACAAAGCTTGTACATATTGGTAAAAGAGAAGCCAAGGAATTTGGCAGCACTGCTTTCAGCTTGTACAGTTTTTTTTAGTCATATGCTAAAATGAATACAATCCCTATCCCATGTATGCCTGTGCGTAAAGAAAACACATATTGTAACAGCACCTTCTTGTAGAAAAGTAGTTGTAGATTCAAATATAAGGAAGAACTTTCTTCTACTTTAAAAGTGAGTAAAGGACTATTAAATTTGGAGATGATAGCATTTTCTTCTTTACATAACAAAACTTACCAAAGCATCTTATGGTCAATCCTGCATTCTTTCTCAAAAGTTTTGAGTTTAATGATTACCAAGTGTTTCTTAGTCAGATTCAGGTATGGAGAAATGTCCACTCCTCTAGCCACTTTAGAGATAGTAGTTATCATTTTCTGCCCGAATTTTGTGTCTTCCTAGCTCCCAAAGGATATTATTAATTTTCTGTACCCTTCCACCCAATTCTCAAGAGTATACTCTTGGCTTGTGGTCTTTCAAAAGACCATTTCCAAGAACCTATATTGCTTTACTTAACTTACCAGCTAAGCACCTCCCCTTCTCCCCTGCATCTTGCGTCTCCTTCTGATATTATTAATTTTCCGTACCCTTATATTGCCTAAAGCACAGGACACACAGCCAAAAGAGAACAGAAAAAGGCACCTGCCCAAGTCAAGTAAGTTCTCTCTCTCTCTCTCTCAGACACACACACACAAACACAACTACCTTAAAGTATAATTTTATTCAACAACATTAATTAGATTGATTGATACCACAGTCTAATGTGTTTGAAAAATCAAGCATTATCATATTTAAGTATAAGTCATCTTCATACAGTACCTCAATGTTTTCTATATCTTCACTTCCATCTTCTACAAGTTCTTCATTGACGGTATTACCTATATGATACTTTTATGACCAGTAATAGTCCAGCTAATAAAAGAAATTAAAAACTAAAAAGATCAAAGGAATGCTTAAGTTAAGTGCGCTTTTATGCAACTTTTGGCTTTTTTTATTTTTCAGAATAAGGAAAAAGCGGCCCCTTGCCTAATGGGGTGCAAGGCACTTTCTTTGATCTGCACTGCACCTTAGCACCTGGGCACAAGCCTTGAAAACACTGCTTAATAGAGTTTCCTGAATTTCAAGGTTCCCAGAAGCAGATGTTATCCAATTTGGGAGGAAGATGAGAAATACTTAAGAGTTTCTTATTGTGCATGAGTGGAATATGATTTAAGTCACAACGATTATGATGATATTTATGAGAAATAACTATAAAGTATCTTGAAGCAAACAAAGACCTAAAAATGTCTCTGATTCACTATTATCCAAATTGGGTAAGAATATTGATAAAACAACTCTCTACCACAAGTTATATCATGAGATAAGTTGCCCAATTTACAATATCTATGATTTATATTACAGCAGGTACATCATATGCAGCCACCTATAATCCAGTAATGAGAGACCTGTGTATATAAATTCTCAAGTTTATACAGCAGAAGAAACATATGCAATTACTGACTACATATATCCGGCATGCCAATGACTATGGACATCAAATGTTGCATTCTAAAGAATCGAACCACTTCTAAGAAATTTATGCTCACCAAAGATCTTTGGATGAAGAAGATAATGAAGAATTGAATAAAGAAATCCTCTGCCTCTTGTTTGAAAGTGTCCCTCTAAAGGAGAACTCCTCTGAAGCAGAAAATTTATCAAGTACAGACCTAAGTGTCTGGTCTAGGGTGCTTGTAGAAATCCTTACTGCAGGATCTTTAGAGTCCCGCTCTTTGCAGCTAGCCACCAGAAAAACATTCTTCATCCTTCCTTCCCAGGTTGCCATCTCTGCTTTCACTATAATTAAATGGAGGGCATCAAGTGCTTGTCTCAAATCAGACAAAAGTCCAGGTTTATAATCACAACATAGAGATGCCCTAATCAAACAAGGTTTTCCATCTAATTCATCCTCCTGCTTTTCCACTATAACCTCGTCAGTGTCCGTTGGAATTAGAATGCCTTTACAAGCTTCTTCCGCATTCTTCTTTAGTTCTCTCATGTGTCTGATCACCTCAGCAAGTAATGATGCTTTATCCATCTGTGAGTTCAAGACAGCTAATTCAGCAAACCCAATTAAGGAATTACAAACAACTAACTCACCAGATAAGACATTATAAGGAGAACTCAAATCATTAGGAACTAGCAACATCAAGTAGCCCCAAAAAAAGTTCCAAAAAGAAAAAATTTGACTAGCAAGAAAAATCAATTGAAAATCTAGTATTTTAGTAGTACTGGACTAACACTGCAGCATACATATGCCTTTTTCAGTCAATCTTACTAACTCATGTATGCTCACCAGTGAACACTGGACAATTGCATTTAGCAATCTCTATTTCTTTATATATTGATCAGATACCGCTAAAATTGATATTAAATCAATCAAATAAGAAAACTACCATAACTTTTTCTCTTTTAATGACCATTCAACCAAAATCTTAAGCAGACGAAGATCCATTTTTTCTTCTTATGTTACCTTCTTTGCACCCGGTACGAGGTCACGGAGTGTATCAAAATGAGCATTGATCCTGGCTCGGCGCCTCCTCTCAGCCTCACTGTGATTCTTCAACGCAGCCACATTTCTCTCGGCTGCCACCCCTTTTCTCGGCAAGTTCATCGTAGCCTCCACAAGCTCTCCTCTCTCACTATCCAAGACCAATGACGAAGAGGAAGAAGAAGAAGAAAATGACATTTTTCTTGTTTTACCTCGACACCCCGAATTCACCATGAAACCAGAGCTGTAACAGTTGGAGCTCCAAGAAAACTGGTCCATGCTACCAAACAGGCAAAAAACGAATCAATGAGATAATTCGGGGAGAATTATTTGGGAAGTGTAAGTTCCATTTAAGGCAAAGGCAGAAGGCTATTCTGTTTGAAGAATGAAAGATCGAGGAGGGATTGAATGGGAAAGTGCATGCTGCCTACATTTTCCATTTGTTTAAATAAATGTAATCTCTAACCGAGCAAGTTGACAAAAGGTCTGACTATGTGGTCATTGGTCATTGCCTACTCCGAAAGGCAAAGGCAAAGGCAAATCTGATTGGGGAGTTTGGTTCAACTTCGTCATCATTGCTTCACTGTGCTTCCGTCCACATTTCATAAAACTTAAAAAGCACTACAGTATTCCATGGATACATAAACCCATGCAGTTATATTTAAATCTTTACTATGAACATTTAATTTAAACTTTATTGATAATAAATAAAATATTTTTCTTATATTTATATATAAAAAATATCATTACTTGATTACTTTTCATTTTATATGTAAAAACAATCAACTTATCACTTAATTTAAATGTCATTTACAAAATAATAGATCTATCACGTAATTGAGACATTTTTTGTTAGGTATAATAAGTTTATCATGAAAGCGAAAATAATGAGTATAATATTTATTATAATACTATGTTATAATTTTAAGACACACATTTAATTTAAAATTATTTATTAAATATTGATAAAAAAGTTTCTAAATTTGTTAAGTTAAAAATATCTTAAACATATAAATATAATAAAGATTTGTTTAGAATGATTTTATAACTTAATATATATATATATATATATATATTTGGTCTACGATCACAGAATGATTTTATAACTTCTGCTTCAAGAACTATAATGCAAACTGATTAATGTATTTATAACACAATGTGATATTAGGTAAAGGCACAGTGCAAAATCCATTAATATATATTTGGTAGCAGAAATTATAAATACTAAAAATCCAAGTGATGAGTAATCAGATTATTAGGATAAATTGACATTAAAAAAAATTTAAGTATCAAACTTTGATATGATTATTTGCTTTGTCAAAGCCGCATTTCTCGGTAGGCCCCCCATGTGGATTCCGGACGCCCACAATGGTTGAAACGTCCCTTGGCCTTATGCGTCGTGGTCGTGGAAAATCGTGTCTAATCCTTTTTTGCTACTTGCAGTGCCCTTGGCGTTTCTAATCTGAAAGTTAGGCCTCCCGAGGGTCCCATATTTTGTTTTGAAAAACCAGCTCACCCCCACCAAACTCCGCTTCGCCTTTCCTGGTTTGCTTTTCATAGCGAGTGTAATCCCATTTCATGATAATGACAAAAAGTCCGTCATTTACTTCTATTTAATCCCTTAAATAAGATTCGACTCTCCTCTTTGTTAATTACGTCTCCTCTAAATATGGACAACAACGATAATGATTATATTAAAAAGTAGTGAAAGAAGATAATAAAGGAAAACCAGAAAAGCTACATAGAGACTCGTCTTGGGATAGGTTTTGCCTTGTCATCATTTAACCTTTATGGTGGCCCTCAATTTCCCCATTGATCCAAGCTCCAAGGCCTGATTCGAGTCAAGCTAAGCCTGCTGGCATGACAAGTTGCTTAGCCCATTGATAGATCCATTCCTTTGGGCTGGAGGTTCCTACATGATTTGGATCACCCTACCTAATCTTTCCGAGTTCAAATAATCAAAAGAATAAAATAAAAAAAAATCCAAGGATAAAAGGTTGTAATGGGTTTTAAACTGAATTTTAATATAAATTTTATTTATATTAATATTCATCAGCATGTACATTACAGTCAATGCTTGTTTTTTATTTAATTTTAAACAATTATCTTAACAAATAGTTCTAACCGTTAGACTTTTAATTCTATATTGAACTTTTTCAAATTTATCCTTGAAAAACATAGATGGACCATGACTATATGCCTAACATATTAAGATAATTAATAGGTCACTTAAGTATTTTTTTAATCAAAATTAAAATGATTAAATATAATTAATTATAACTTTTATGATAATGTGTATTAAGACACATTGACTACAAGGCATATCATTTTAAAAAGAATATCGGGACATTCATTGATACCACATGAACAATCTCGGTTTTTATATAGGAAAAAATAAATAAATAATTGTAAAAATAATAGGTATGAGAAAAAAGTATTATTAAAATAAAAAAATTTTACTTGAAAGTGTGTTTTATAAATGAAATAACAAACCTATTCATAAGCTAAATATTAAATGATAAAATTATACTAAAACATACTAACAAATTATTTAAGAAATTTAATTTTTGCATATTTTAATCACCAATCACATGATCAATTCCTCTTTTAAGGTCGACAAGACAAATAGCAACATTTAAATATGTTATATCAACTTGGTTATAGTTAAAATCAGTTTGAACAAAATTTGTTTTTATATTTTTTTTTTACCTTTCAGTAATGTTTGATAAAGTTCAATAAAATGTTTTATATTTGTATACTTTTTTTTTTATATTTTTTCACTACTCATCTATTTTTTGTGAGTAAAGTATCCATTTACTTTTGATGGGTAAAAGTTTGCATCCATCTATGATGAGTAAAAGTATTCATTCACCTTTACTGAATAAAGGTATCATCGACCTCTACTGGGTAAAGATATCCATTCACCTTTGATGGATAAAGGTATTCATCCATCTCTAGTGGGTAAAAGTATCTATCAACTTATGGTGGATAAACCCTCTACTGGGTAAAGATATCCATCCACCTTTGATGGATAAAGATATTCATCCATCTCTAGTGGGTAAAGATATCTATCAACTTATGGTAGATAAACGTATTCATCTATCTCTAGTGGGTAAAGATATCTATCAACTTCTGGTTGGTAAGCGTATTCATCCATCTCTGGTGGTGGTAAAGGTATCCATCCACATCTGATGAGTAAATGTATTCATCTACTTTTAATGGTTAAATGTATTATTATAATAGTGATTAGTGTAACTATCATGATTGTCATTATTATGGTGATTTTTTCCATGTCTTTGACTATAATTATATTACATTCACTTTAGACAATGGACAAAGTTTATAATTTTTCATTAATAACTTGCTATTTTGCTTAACTACAAAAAATATAAAATCAAAAACAAAATATGTTTCAGATTACCCAAAGTATAGTATTTTTCACATACAAATTTAATTTCATATGTTCAATTCAAAATGTTTAATGTAAAATCTTATAGCATCACAGATAGATTTATATATGTTGAGTAAAATTATAATCGAAATTCAACTAAAAAAATCATATATTAAGAAAATCATATTCTAAAATTAGAACACAGATATCATAGATAATTATATATATTTTCAAGCTCAACCTAATTTAATAAATCAATGAAAAAATACATAATAAATATTACATGATAGCAAAACTTACATTAAAACTAATTTTTAAGGAATTAAAACACCAAAGAGATATCAAACTATTTTTTTGATTTGTTAAAACTAAAAATGAAAGACCAACCATTGAACTTTTTTTGAAGTCTGGAGATTATGAAAGCTAAATAATATCAAAACTTGAAAAATTTAAAAATTGTATTGATAATATGTTATGAAATATAACTTAAAAGAACAATTATAAGAAAAAGTATTTAAAAGCAGTAAAAACATTTTATTCAACCGTGTATATTTATAAATAAAATGAAAAGCTTATTTATAAACTAATAATCACTTATTTAGATAGAATTTATGAGATAAAGATAATATTAAGAGATTTAATTTGGATAGATTAAATCTTAATCTCAATATACTTTCAAATCTAGGTATACATAATCAAATATAAGAATTTAAATTAAATTACATTCTTGTGTCTAGCCTATTGGGCTGTTTGGCCTATGTAAATTGTCTAGTTTGAAATCTTGAGTTGTAATATAATAGATATTCACACATATATTCATAACAAAAGTAAAGTAGTAATTTGTGAATGATTAATTTAAGAGAGTAATAACCTAACAATATTAGTTAGGCTACGAGATGAGTCACGGTTTTTTTTTTCATTTATTTATAAGGGAATTGTTGAAAATAATTTAGTAGAATGAATGTGATAATATTTATTACCTATTAAAATATTAATGTTTATTCCATAGGAGTTGATTGAAGCTTATTATTAAACATAGCAAAATAAAAAAAATCCCTTTAACAACTTCGTTTTAAATATTTAATGAATTCTCATTAAGGGAAATATAAAAGATGTAATCACGGGCCGAATATGCCCATGACCATGAAATGCAATAGCCCAAATTAATCTTATGTTTAAATCTCGTTGGAATATGAATTAAGCCTAATGGATCGAAATTTATAGACACCTAACTTATCATTAAAATTATTTAATAATAAATTTTATTTATAAAAAAGTGAATCATTTTAAAGACGAAACACTCCAATCAATTATTATATTTTATCTATAATTTTCTTATGATATATATTTATTTTTTATTTAAATAACAATTATTGTTATTAAAATTAAAAATTATAATTCCGCATCATAAAAATTATATTGGTGTTAGAGAAAGGTTAGAAACATAAATCTCGTGTGTTTAGATTATTAGACATATTGGTGAATCAGACCATAGATTTTGTATTGGGTTTGATGGATTTATTCTGTTTCTGTACCAGATTTATAGTTTTTAAGTATCTTAACCCGTATGCAATGCGGTTGTGATATATATTATTTATTTAATTGTTTATTGATTCGATGTTTGCTAGAAATTTTTTGTAAGTGTTTAGATTTTTTATAGCTAATCAATGTTATGCTTTTGAATATTGTTTTATATACCTATTATGTGCACTATGGATGATTCACGTGATCGTTTTAATATTCGTGCAAGCTTGCTTATGATTGTGTGAGAGCATCGCTATTATTTTTTACGATATATCATGATTCACGAATCCTTGATTTTGGGTTCAGAAAATAAAGAAAAAAAATACAAATGAGCAAAAACAAAAGAACTGGCTGAAATGCAAAGATATGGTTGGCAATTGCATTTTGGGTAGAGACTAGTCAGGACGCAGAGTTTACTGACAAATGACACGTTTAGTTGAAATTCAATGCAAATGAATTTCTAGTTCTGTTGTGGCGCATTGTGCACCTGTTGTATGCTAAAGCCAACAGCTGGAGGGCATGCCCACCTGGAGGC